AGGAATAATGACGTTGCAAATGGGCTGGAAGTGAGGGCATGGAGAGCTGCGCGGTCCTGGCGATGCGGAGGAGAAGCCGTGCGGTGTGTTCGTACCAGGAAGATACGGTCCAGAGCAGAGAATCTTGCTGAGGGAAAGACAGTCATCTCGTAACGGGAAAGGGCTGATTCATCCAGCAGACACGGTGACCTGTGTGCACCGAATGACACCTCTGAAAACTTAACGCGAGGTCTTCGGAGTCGGCGGGGCACGAGCGTTCCACAGAGTTCCCTCTAAACGTTACTCGGGGCTCTCTTGTTCCTCTAGTTTTACCAATGTCCACGGTTCCCTGTAAGTTACACTCAGGGACCCCGCACTCACCTTTCCTTGGCTCTCATGAGAAACCCTTCTGGGAGGCAGGGGGCGGCCCCTCTCAGAACCTGTGCTCCTGGCCAAACTAGTTTTGGCTTCTGTGAGCTTCAGCTTTTCCATCCGTACCGTGAAGACCAACAGCGATGGGGTTTTTCAGAGAGGGAGAGGGAGAACCTTAAGCAGGGTCCACGCCCAGCATACAGGCGGACACAGGGATCCATCGCATAGCCCTGAGACCGTGACACAAGCCGAAACCAAGAGTTAGATGCTGAGGGGCCCCTGGGTGGCTGTCGGTTGAACATCTGCCTTTGGCTCAGGTTGTGGTCCCAGGGTCCTGGGATCGAGCCCCGCATCAGGCTCCCCGTTCCACGAGGAGTCTGCTTCTCCCTCTGCCACTCCCCCTGCTTGTGCTGTCTCTCTGAAATAAAATCTTAAAAAAATAATTAAAAAAAGAAAGTCGGATGCCTAACTGATGAGCCCCCTCAGGTCCCACCCCCACCAGAAATGTTTTTAAGTCCTGAACTCTTTCTCCAGGCTGTAGCCCGTGGAGGCCCCTAGAAGCTGGCTCACGTACCCAGCGCAGGCATTTGGACCAGCCACTATGGGAGGGTCAGGGATCCCGGGGGATCCACACGGGGGCTTGGGCTTGGTGCCTCACAGATTCCTCCTGTGGCTCATGCAATCTGGGAAAGAGTATTGTGTGAAAGGCATTCTTGCCTCTCAAGTATTTTCAACCCAGCTGACAGCGAGACACATGCACGCTGAATTTGAAAGCTGCTCTCGGCTTCTATACAAATAAGATGGATTTTGAGGATGACAGGTGCTGATTTGTACATCTTTAGTTCCAAACCAACCTGGTTGGCAAGAACCAAAGGCAAGTCACGGCTATTACCTGGCTCGAGAAATCTAAGGGATTCGTGGCTGGGGCCATGAAAGGCTTTCCTGGCTAGGGAATCGTCCCTCTTTGCTTTCTTGTGTGTAAGCTCGGCTCAGCCTTAGATGCCACATTGCAGCACAGAAGCGTGGTGCTGTGGGGGAGCTCCCAGAGCACACGTGTGTGGCACGGAGCAGGTGCCCTGAAAGTTAGGACAGACAGAAACTTCTTTAACACGTGGGGTCATTTCAAAGCTGTGGAATTGGATATGTGGAGTGTATGTGACCAATATCACATGACATCCTTTTCCTTCACGACTCCTGTCTCTTTTTTTTTTTGGACACTTTCTTGCTGTAGGTATGCCTCTCTGGACTTCAGCTTTGAAACACAGATAAATGAAATTGGGAGGGACAAACCTATGTAAAATCTTTCTTATGGAACGGGTGTGACACACAGAAGGAAGCTACCAGAAGCCCGTATCCTTTCAAGAGAATCAGTCGTCTGGAAAGCAAGCCTTTGGCTTTTCCATGTCATCTTCCAACCAGTCTTCCAGGTGCTATGAAAAAGGGGGACAGAAGCAGGGGCCGCAGAAAGGTCTGGAAGGATATGCCCCAGGCTACTGACATTAAATGTTTCCATGGGATGGAATGGAAAGGAATGGTAACACATTATTAAATTTTCCTTTACACATTTTGCAATTATTTCATGTTACATTATCACATTATCACCTTTGTAATAAAAGTGTTAATAAGAAACACTGTTAAAAAAAAGAAACACTGTTAAAGAAAACAGCTACTCTGTTCATTAAAAAACAGCAACAACATGGTGTAGGAGAGTGTTTGGATATAATGTCCATGGTCTGTCATGTTAAAAAGAATTCCTAAGCGCACACAGACTAAATTCTGAACCCTAATTATTAGTTTACAGCAGAAGTTTGATGAGTCAGAAGCCTTCCAGTAGCCTCTGGGGTTTTATAACCTCCCTCTGGCCTGAGCCCGTTTCGCTGGGCAGCCCAGGGCACTGCCCAGTAATTAAGTGAAAATTTGTGGGTAATGATTTAGTGCAGTGGCTGGAGCATGTGCCCCTCTCCCCCCCCACCTTGAGATCCCGCAGAATCAAGGTCACTTACACCTTGCCTCTGGTGGTGGATATCCCACAAGTTATTGGCAGCAAGGACGTAAGGTCTCCTTGAAATCAACTTCTCCCTCTCTGAGCGCTCCTGTCCTAACCTTTGGCAGAACTCACTCACTACCTACATCTAACTCTCTCCCTTAGCAAATTCTGCTACGAAGTGGGGGGCTCCCCTCCCAACCCCGCTGACCAGGCTCTAGCCTTTTAAAGCTGCTAAAATCTTCAGAATTTTCAACCTTGGTACTACTGATATTTTGGGCTGACTGATCCTTTGTTGTCTGGGGCAGGGTGGGGAGACAACCTGCGCATTGCAGGACAGTCAGCGGCATCTCTGCATCCACCAGATGCCGGGAGCATCCACCCCCCACAGCTGTGATGAAAATATCTCCGGACATGGCCAAGTGTCCCCTGTGGGGCAAAAGGGCCCCAGGTGAGAACCACTGTTAAGTTCACAAGTTCATCTACTGTCCCACGAGGACCTGGGACTAGGACCATGTGTTACTATCCATGCACCCCCTCCCCCCAAAAAAACCCCAAGACATGGATGTTTAAGACCTTCCCAGGGGCAGTTGCCTGTGAAAGCCAAGATTCATCCACCGTTTTAGTGCAAACTTTCTCCCTTGTTGGTGGCCGCCAGAAGACTTCAGACAAGGGAAATTTCGGCAGGTCACTGTGGGGGGCGGGGGAGAGGAGAAGCGGTGTTTAGTCGGCTGGTACTCTTTAAACAACCTTTACATTCATTCACGTGGCATAAACCAAAGAGACAGACTGGCAGGTGACACCTGATCCCATGTCTTTCAATGCCCTACATGCACCGACGACCCTCATTTTTTCACTTCAAGCCTCCTTCGCCTTTTGCGGTAGCCAGCACCGTGCATTCCGCTGCCGCTCAGTGTCTCCAAGTGGGCATCTGACAGGCTTGTCCCAGCAGGATGTGGCAGCACCGTGAACCAAACCGCTCAGGTCCAAACTTGCAAGCCCTCCTCTGTTCTCCCGTTCCTTTCCGTCACTTTCCAGTCTTCCGTCAGGTCAGCTCTACCTCCAGCACACGTCCCTGTCTGCTGTCTTGTCTCGCACGCCCTCTGCCCTCTTAGTGTGAGCCGCTATCCTCTCCTGCCAGCCACTTCCTGCTCCCAAATCAGGGTGTCCCTGGCCTCACCCCACTGACATTTTGCTTGGGGAAGAGGGCTGTCTTGTGCATTGTAGGATGTCCAGCGGCATCCCTGGGCTCCACCCACAGACACCGTCACCATCACCCCTCAGATTGCAGCAAAAATATCTCCAGATATTGCTGAATGTCCCCTGGGGGACAAGATCCCCTCTGGCCAAGAACCACGGTCCTACATCCTGCACACACAGGCCAGGATATTTCTAAAAGTGTGAATTGCATCGCGCCAATCACCTGCGGAAAACCCTCCAACGTCTTCCCATCGGCCTTGTAAAGCCCAGGCTCCTTACTGTGGCTTCCAAGACCCTCCATGAACGTGCCTCTGCCTCTTCTCCAACGTCCTCTCTTCTGGGCCTCGCTGCCCCTCCCTGGGCTCCAGGCGCACGGGTCTCCCACGGGTCTCTCTGTTCCTGGAGCATCCCAGCCTGCTCCCATCCGCGCTCCCTCTGCGGCAGGAACTCTCCCCAGACCCCGCCTGGCTCCCTGTTCACCCACACAAAACCTCAGGTCAAAGGTCCGCGAGTGGGCGGGCCCTTCCCTGACCCTTCCACGCAAGAAGCCCCTCGTCTCCGTTCTGCCCATGACCCGCTTGTTTCCCTCCCAGCTGCTCCGCACAACGGAAAACGTCTTTCCGCGCCGTCGTGGCCCCTTCGGCGGACTGAGAGTCTGGGGTCTCGGGGCCCCGGCTGCCCGGTCCACAGCCCAAGCGGCAGCGGAGACCTCCCTCCCCTGCCGAGACCTTCCGGGGTTGCTCCGCGTCCGGGTGTCGCTGGAGCGATGTGTCACTTTCACCCGCCGCTGACCTACGAACGCGGGGCCGGGGTGCGGTCCGCGGACCTCGCACGAGCCCAGCGGGCGCTCGGCGGAGACACCGACCGGCCCGTCAGCGGGGTAACGGCCTCTAGGCGTTTGGGGTTGTACCCTCCGCCAGCCACCGCTTCGGTGGGTCCCTGTCCCCAGGATCGGAGCCGCCCGCAGCCTCCCTGTCCGTGAGCTCAGGTGCTGCAGCCTCTGAGCCTCGGAGCCTCCTGCACCGGCCCCCACGGAAGGCGGTTCTGGGGGTCCGTGGCGGGGCGGCCCCGGGCGCCGCGCGGTGGACGGTGCCGGCCGCATCCCGACCTCGCGCACCTGCGCCCGGGCCCAGGTCGGGGAGTCTCGGGGCGGGGGTCGGGCTCCGTGAGCGCGGCTGGGGGCCCCCAACACAGCTGGGGGCCGTGTCCCCGCTGCAGGCGCTCCCGACGCGCGGGGGAGCCCCAGGGTGAGGGTGACGCCATCCGGGTGCGGTCACCGCAGGCACCAGGATGGAAGCATCGCGGGGCTGCGGTAGCGCGGACCCGGCTCCACGCGCAGGGGTTCCGCCCCTCCCGCGCTCGGGGACACCCACTTCGCCTCTTGCCCCTTCGGCGCCTGCGGGGCATGCGCGGGCCCGCCCCGCCCCGCATCCCACACTGCCCCGCGACAGGAAGGGGGGCGTGGCTTCCGGAACTTCAGGGCGGTCGCTGTTTGGGCCGGTGACGGCTTAGCGCCTTAGCTCGCGATGGCCGCGGCCGTCGCTATGGAGACGGGTAAGTGGCGCCCGGAGCGCTCGCAGACACCGCTGCCCCGGGCCAGACGCCTTGTCCCGCTCCCCGGGCTTCCTGTCCGCGGCTCCGTCCTCCTCACCTCACTGGCGTCGAGAGACGCCGACCCCCTCCGGCCTCCTGAACCCTCGGCTCCCCGGCCACCCGGCCCCGCCCCCGCCCCGGGCCCGACTCCCCCAGCCTCCCGACCCCCCCCCAACCTCCTGACCCCCGGGCCCGACTCCCCCAGCCTCTCGACCCCCCCCGGCCTCCTGACCCCCCAGCCTCCCGACACCCCCCCTCACCTGGCCTCCTGACGCCCCTGCTCGACTCCCCCAGCCTCTCCTGGGAGCAGTGGCCCCCAGGGGTGAATACCCTGCCCGGTGGGGGCACTTGTGTCCTCGCTGGGGAGCCCTGCGGAAGCACACCTGAGCGCTCCTCGGCTCTTGCTGCCCTTGTCTTCGCCACGCGGGGGGACAGACCGTGACCCTGACTCCGGCCGGTCTGGGCTGTTTTCCTCTAGACGATGCCGGGAACCGACTTCGCTTTCAGCTGGAACTGGAGTTCGTGCAGTGCTTAGCCAACCCCAACTACCTGAACTGTAAGTGCTTGAGCCCTTGTGCCACCGGCGGCTTCCAGTGTGCTCTGCGGAGGCGTCGCGGCTCTTGCGGTGCCTGTTTCCATGTACACGCGGTCCGGGGGTCACAGCCACGCGCACACGTGCGGGCGCATGCGTGCGTGCTGAACAGGCTGGGCTCGGGCTTTGACTTGGGTGTGTGGGCGGTGGGGGGGTTGCGGAGCGGAGGCTTTGCGGTAGGGGTCGCGCATCGGCCGTCCGGGTTGGTTTGCTCTACAGACTTTTTTTTTTTATGCTTTTCAGTTCTGGCCCAAAGAGGTTACTTCAAAGACAAAGCTTTTGTTAACTATCTTAAGTACTTGCTTTACTGGAAAGAACCAGAATATGCCAAGTATCTAAAGTAAGTTTGCTTTTTATAGTCCTAATATGTGTAGTTTGTTGTATTCCAGAACATGGATAGCTCACATGTGTTCTCGGTTCACATTGGAAAAATACATTCTGAATCTCCACTTGTTTCAGTCGCCTCCATCTTAATACAGGATGTTCTCATCTCCAGCTTGGATTACTGCGGGTCCACTCCCTGGTTGTCCCTGCTTCTGTTCCTTCCGTCCTCCTAGGTCCTCCCTCCCCCAGGCCAAACCAAGCAGAACAGTTTTCTACACAGAAGCCAGCTCGATCTTTCAGAAGTGTAAATTACGACACAACCCTTTCTTGCTTAGAGCCCTTCAGTGGCTTCCCACTGCATGCAGAACAAGGTCCTGTCTTTTTCCCTGGAAGAACTCTGCGATCTGGCTCTGTTCCTTGACTTTACCTTTCCCTGTGTGTGTGGGGCTGGGGGTACTGGGTAAGAGTCTTAGCATCAACAAGGTAGCTGCTTGGTTTGAAACACAAACAAAAGCCAGTTAATTACTTTGTTTCAGCTGGTTTCTGACCCTAAGGAGCCCACCATCTATAGACTCAGGGGCATTGCCTGGGCCTGGAGATTAAAGGACATGGGGTGCTCACAAGGAAGATTTTCTGGAGGAGGTGGCCTTACCTGACTCTCAGTACAGGCACACCTCCGAGAGCGCGGGTTTGCTTGCAGACCGTGCAGGAAAGGGAGTCTTTTACCAAAGTGAGCCAAATGAGTTTTTTGTTTTCCCAGTGCATTTAAAGGTGATGTTAACACTACTCCACAGGCTATTAAGTGTGCCATAGTATTAAGTCAAAAAAAGGGGACGTACCTCAAAAAAATCTTGTTAAAAAACTCTAACCGTAGTCTGAGCTTTTAGGGAGTCATGACCACAGATCCCCATAACGAATACAATATTGAAAAGTTTGAAATGTGAGAATTATCAAAATATGACCCAGAGACATGAAGTGAGCAAATGTGGTTGGAAAAATGGTGCCTGTAGACTTGCTCGATGAAGGGTTGCCACAAACCTTTAGTTTGTAAACAGAAAACCCAAAAAACAAAACCAAGCCAGGATGTCTGTAGCTGCTGTCTTTTTTTAGGGCCACCTCGGTGCCAAGCACTGTACTCGTTTAAACCTTGAACTCTCAGCTCTGCTGTGTATTAAGTAGGTGCTCAGGAAACAATAGTGAAACATCTTGTCTTTTTTCTTTTTTTAAAACAACCGTGTTTGGTAGGAAAATGATTCAAACTTGTCCTTTATTCAAGCCACTTTTTTGATCGGTGTCTGCTGATTCACAAAGCCAGCAGGACCCTTGCACCCTTCCTGGTCCCTTATCACCGGTCACTTGCTCCTCTAATAGTCCAGAGAGGACTTTCTTAGGTGTTGTGTGTATGTGGACTTGGAGACTGTCTGTGGACAAGGAGCCACAGGCACAGTCAAATTCACGTCTCCCCCACAGTGTTGCTGGGGTGGCTGCCTGCACTTTGGCCGGGGACCAAGTCATCCCCTGTTGCTCCACTCAGGGACAGCCGATTCCGCCGTTAGCCGGATGCTGGAAAGTTTCTTTATTTTGGGATTTAACACATCCCTGTGTAGCTTTAACCCATGTTTCCGGTTTTGTCCCTGAATGAACCCCGAGCCAGTCCATGCCCTCTGGAGGCAACTGCCCTTCCGATACGCACATTCAGGAGAGGTTGCGGGTTGACCCCGCGGGCATACAGTCTGCACTGTCTGCACAGAGTTTGTGTGGTAGTCTCTGCCGCTGGAAGATTGGGAGGTCTCTTACCCTGATCCGAACCCTGGAAAAGCCAAACACTGCAGGTCCTTGAGCCTCCAAGTCAGTGCCTGGCTGGTATGAGGGGCTGCGGTGCGCAGACACACCCGCTCCAGCGGGACCGAGGCCCCGCACCTGTGGGGGGCGGCTTCTGTCCGCTCTTCTCGGCTCCCCTCAGCTGCTTCTCGGGCGCCCCCCGTGGATGTTTTTGCAGTTGTGCCTTTCCCTGTTCAGTCAAGACCCTGAGAGTGGTCAGGGTGTGCTGGAGCTGATACCTTTCTTTTCTGCATGTGGGCATCACCCTTCGAGAAGTGTAACTTGAGTTCGTTACAATTTTTTGCAGGGGGAAGGGACAAGGCTGCATATTGCTGACTCACTGAGAATTTTATGCCCACTCGAACCCTTCAGTATTTCGCCATGCCGCTGAATTCTCCATTTACGTCTCATTTCTTTCCTCTTGTTGGTTGATGCTGTCATTGTAGCTGGTCCAAGTATTTACCAGTTCCTACTCTGTCATTTAGTATACACTGAGCATTTTCTCAGCCCCCCAGGCACCCCTCAAGCCCAGGGCTTTTTAACTCCCGGTGCCCGCATGGAAAGGGAAGAAAGAGCCAGGTTAGGTGTGAGCAGGGCATTTCAGGGGAAGCTGCCACGGCCCCAGGCAGCTGTGTCTTCGGAGTGTAAACAGCGCACCTTTGTCAGAGCGATGGCATTGGGACCAGCCCCGCTGTGCAGTGTGGTCCTCAGGCCAGCAGTGCTGCTGTCACTGGCGGGCTCGTTTGGCAATGTAGATCTCGGGCCCCACGCAGACCCACTAAGTCAGACCCTGCATTTAGGGAGTGCATCACCGGCCCTAGGAACTGTTTTCACACTTTAGGCATTTGTGTCCTGCTTCACAGTTTTGGCTCTGGGCGCTCTCTGTAGAAGCTTTTTAATCGACTTACTCGGATTTTGTCTTTTCTATTTGAAATAATGTCTCTTAGAAAACAGGAAGGTATATATTCTTCACCCAGATATTGTAAATGTTCACATCTTCCTGGGAACATTATCTAGTCTGCAGATCTCATTCTGATTATGTCCAGTGGCTCATTAATGTCCTGTGTCTGGGACAGTATGCAGTCTAGGCCACTATGCTACATTTTGTCTTTGTGTCTTCTTAGTCTTTAATCTGAGTTTCTTGATCCTTCCCTGCCCCTGCCTTGTGACTGTGACCCAGAAGTGGTGCTATAGGCTTCTTGGTGTATCCCGTCGGAGTCGTCGTCTCTGACCTACTACTGGTGATGTTCATTTTGCTCACTTGGTTGAGGTGATGGCTGCCAGGTTTCTCCACATCAAGTTACTAGTTTTCCCTTGCATTTAGTAAGTATCTTGTGAGGACATACTTTGAGACTATGTAAATACTTTGTTTCATATCGTACTTTTACCCACTAATTTTAGCATCTGTTGATACTTGCCTGAAACAATTTTTACTGTGATTTTCTAGCATTCTTTCTACACTTACTAGTTGTAATTTAGGTTTAACGAAGGAGCATTCTCTTATTCCTTAATTATTTGTTTAAAGGAGTTATATTAGCATGGATTCTTATTTTTATTTTTTGGAATATAATTATGTGTTTTCTTGTTCTAATGATTCCAGATTTGGCCCCTCAGATTGGCTCCTGAGTGCTTGGGACATATCCCCATAGTTTTTTGAGCACTTGACTTTCTGGTGCTACATAATGTTCCTGGTTCACCTCGTACTTTCCCTGCATTAGCCCAGGAATTAGCCATTTCCCCCAAGAAACCCTGGAAAATGCTGTTGAAAAACCCATGATCTGGGCACAGAATGTGCTCATTGGCACCACGGTCATTGCTTCTAGGCCCTTTTTGGCACACACAGCCATGAAGGGGAGAGTGTGTATGTGTGTGTGTGTATACACTGTGTCTGCTTCTAATCCTCGTCTGTTTCTTTGTCTCTGTGCGATAAGCCAGGGGTTCATGCTGATGTTTTCAGTTGTAGTTCCGTAACACAGGGTCCATTCTAGCCTCCCCCCTTCCTTGGCACTCCTTTTCTGATGGTTGGAAAGTTGGCTCTCTTTACACTGCACTTACCGACTCGGTTGCTCAGTCTTAAGAGTATATGAGAAGTAAGTCACTGCGTAAGACTAGAACACAGGATCCATGCATAGTTCTTTGTAAAACAGACTCAATTTTGAATAGAAGTTGTCCTTGTCACTATTGATGGAAAACCAGTAGTTACCAATTAAAAAGATGATTACTAAAGTTCCAAAGTGTACATATTCCTGACCTTGGACACCACTAGAAGAGCAGAGTTTGCCCCCAGAGTTTGACTCTGCTTACCCGTTCCTGTGTGGTCTTGGGCAGTATTGAATCTCCCTGAACTGAAGTTTTCTCACGTTTGAAACTGTGGCTTCATGCTGACTTGGGATGACCGGCAGAAGCAGGACGCGCAGAACCCCGTACTCCCAAAGTGAGCCGAGTTAGTGTTGTAGAACTGGTAGGCGGCCCTTCGTTTCTGAGTGAGTGTCTGGATTGCAGCTGGGCGTTTCTGACCTGAACCGTGTTGGTGATTAGCTTGTGGCCCTGAACCAGGTACCCTCAGTGTCTGCACATGTTGGAGCTGCTGCAGTACGAGCACTTCCGCAAGGAGCTGGTGAACGCGCAGTGCGCCAAGTTCATCGACGAGCAGCAGATCCTGCACTGGCAGCACTACTCCCGGAAGCGCATGCGCCTGCAGCAGGCGCTGGCCGAGCAGCAGCAGCAGAACAGTGCCGCGGGGAAGTGAGGCGCCGCCACGGACTCTCCGGCTCCCTTTGTGTGGGGGGGCACCCGAAGCTGCGAGGGCCCTTGCCTCCGGCTCCCTCCCTCCAGCTCCCTTTGTATTGTTCGTGGGCTGCTGCTGTCACACAGTTGTACTTTGGTTTCCTGCGGGTTTGTAAGTTATTATTAGCTCAACCAACTGAATAAAGACACACGTCAGGTGCTTTAAACCACTGGAAGGCTGCAGTGAGGGATGGGGCACGGGGAGGGCCCCCACATGTCCCGAACTCCAAGCCTAGCTCTGTTCCTCACGTACAGTGGGGCCTGGGCAAGTCCGTCTCCTCCGACCTTCTGTCCCTCAGTGAACTGCCCTACCCCTCTCACCTACAGAATGAGTGCAAGGGAGTCCGTGATTTCCTTCGGCCAGAGACAGGACCCGCAGAAGGACTCACCTATGAAACCGCTTGCTGTGCGGAGGGGGGGGCTTCAAGGACCGGACATGGCTAGGTCACTGACCTAGTGATGGCGGGGAAGATGGTGGTTAATGTCCAACTGGACTCTTGACCTTGGACCGGAATAAAGATGAGGAGCCTCACCCAGGTGCAGTCACCCAGCACCGCTGACATTTACGTGGTAGGGGCTACGATCCATGCGTCGTCCCATTCACATCTCGCTGGCAGAACCAGCCTTGTCTGTGAAGGAGGAAACTGAGGTATAGACTGGTTATGAAACTTGCCTCCTGTTACACAGCTAGGAACTGGTGATCAGTGGCACCGACTCCTGGGCTGGGGCTCCTGCCACCACTGGGTTCTCTGGGCTCTGACCGCTCTCTACCACTGGCCTCACCCAGAGTGGGAAGCACGTTGAGAGAGTGAACTGCACTGCCTGTGGGGGGCAGAGGCTGGGTTAGAGGCACCCTGCTCTCCTTCAACGGGTCACACTAGCATCTACGTTCTAAAGCCAAAGAAGATGCTATAGGACAAACGCGCTTTGGCAGTTCATGGCATTGAAGGTAAAAGATCTGAACTCCTTTTGTGATTTGGAATTTGCTTTTTGCACTGGTAGGGGCTTTTAGATACTTTTGTCCCCTCTAGTAATGCATGCCCTTGTGCTATTACTGTCACTGCTGTAGACTTAGCTTACCTGTATCTTAAAGATTCCCACATACTACAAGCAAACAGAAGAGTTCGTGGGCATTTTTTTTTTAAAGATTATGTTCATTTATTTGACAGAGACACAGCGAGAGAGGGAACAGAAGTAGGGGGAGCGGGAGAGGGAGAAGCAGGCTTCCTGCTGAGCAGGGAGCCCAATGCGGGGCTCGATCCCAGGACCCTGGGGTCTTGACCTGAGCCAAAGTTAGAAGCTTAACAACTGAGCCACCCAGGTGTCCCTAATAGCACTTTATATTTAGACAGAAACCAGTTTGTTTCACATCATCATTTCTTTATTGCTAACATGAATTCAAAGCAGGTATGCAGTTGCCTTCATACTAGAGCAAATCAGGACATCAAGACACAGTTGCCATCATCAAATCTTAATCTTCGGAGAACAACATCTCCACGAGGTTGGCCTGAAGACACTCAGATTCCACCAGTTTTTGGGGCTGTAAGAGAAGAATGGTCTAATCTTAAGCCACAGCTACAAACATGGTATTAGGAGGACAAGTGGCGTTCTGCCGTGAGTGACACAAATCTTACAGCAGAGAAGCCATGCCATTCAGAAGCTATCAACTAGTTGTAACAGGTCTTCGGAAATAGTTAAGCTGTTTGCCTTAAGATGAATCACTTGTCTCTGCAGACTACAACGAGAGACAGCAAGTCCAGTGCCATTCCCTTCCCCTCAAGTTTTTAATTTAGGATGCCAGGGCCATGGCTAACCTAGAGGAGGTGCCCCTTCTTTTTGACCAGAATTCTGGGTTAAGTGGAAAGCAACTGCTGGTGTTGTAAGGAATGCTGAGCCGTGCTTCAAGAGTTTTAAAATGGACTGGCTTTCAGAAACCATGACAGAGACTGACTACCTAGATACGTGCGTTATTAACAGTTTGTTGGGGTTGGCCATAGGGATGGACAGCCAGGTGGTGTATTTTTCATGCACTCTGAACACCAATGTGCTACTTGGGATGAAAATGTCAAGATCTCTTCTAACGAGGGTGAGCTGAGACCCCAGCACAATGAAAGGAAAGACACTTACTGTTCCGTATTTAAGTAGTGTAGGCACTGCTGTCACTTTCAGATTTTTTCTGAAGTCGTTATTTGGATCTTTCCAACTATTTTGAAAAGAAGAGGTGATCAGGTTTCTCACAGGTTACTTAATATTTGATACATTCCTACATCTAGTCTGTTAGAACTCATTGCTTTTGTTGCAAACGTTTATCGAGCCTTGAGGACTGACTTTGTTTGCGACTCTGCACAGTTTTCCTTAAGAGCGTGAAAACAACATAAAATAAAGGTAAAGACAGTTAGGTTCTGGACTAAAACCAGGCCAGACGCATTGCATCACCTGCAATGGCTAAGTACTCAGAATTTGTCTTTAATCACTCCTAACAGCGGGACTTACCGACTACACCGAGAACCGAGACCTCTGTCCCGAGGCCCTGCACACCTGAGCTGCGCATGTCTAGTGCGCGTCTGGAACAGGGAATCGGCACTTACTAGGGTTTCTCTCCCACCTGGCAGTAGATGAACACACACCCCTCACTCATGTGCTTCAGCCCCTCTCGAACGACCGGTTCAGCTGGAAACGGAAAAGACCTAAGATAAGCCCCGACGCGCCGGGGCAGCCGGCACCGAGAGCCCGTCCGCTGCAGGGGGCGGCAGGCGGGTCCGGAGCCCGTTCCGGGCGAACACCGATCCCCTGCGCGAGTGAGCGCTCGGGGCCTGGCGCGGTGCGCGGGCTCCGGCGGGGACCCGGAGGCGCGCCGGGCCCCCTCGTCCGCCGCTTCCCTGCCCCCGCCGGGCCCGTGGCCGCCCGCGAGCCCGCCTCACCCTGCACGCAGTCGGGGCACCAGCTCTGCCCGCCCGCGTCCTTGGAGCCGGTGAAGTAGGCGAAGATGGTTTTGTCGCGGTGCCGCTCCACGGCCTGGCTGAACTCCTCGAAGCCGCGCACGCTCAGCTCCTCGCGGCCCGCCATCGCTCCGCCGGCCGGGATCTCGGGGGGCGCGGCCGCGGTCTCGGGGCGGGGCCCCGTGCGGGGCGGGGCGCGGCTGCTTCCGGCCGGGCTGGCGGCGGGGCGGGGCCCGGGGCTCCGCGGCGCTACGGGGGCCTCGGGCGGCCACACCGCGTCGGCGCCGCCCGTCCGCGCTCGCTTGTCCGCGCCGTCCGCGCCGGCCCTGCGCAGGCCGCCGAGCCTCTGCCGGAGCCGCCCCGGCCCCGGCCGCGGCCCCATGAGCGCCGGCCGCCCAGCCTGCCGCCGCGCAGCCCCGGGACCCCTGGCGGCTCGGGCGCCCTAACGGCTCCCAGGCCGCCCTGCGCCGTTGCCATGGCGACCGGGCGAGCGGCCGGAAGCGCGGCCTAGCGGGTCCCCCGCCCGCCTCCCGGTAGCCGCGCCGCGTCCCAGGCCAGGTGGGCTCGGGCCGGGGCTGGGGGGTTTCTGGGTAGCCGTGCCCGCAGCCGCGGACCCGGGGCCCGGGAGAGCCGGAGCCGGGGCCGTCCCCGCCGCCGTCCCCGTCACTCGCGCTCCTGCGGCGGCCGCGGGCGCTCCCGGGGGGCCGGGCGGGGGCCGAGCTGGAGTCGGGCCGCGGCGGCCGGAGCGCGAGTGCGTGCGTGCGTGTGCGCGGCGGCCGCGGTGGCGGGCGGGGAGGCGCGCGCAGGGCTGCAGCCATGAATGGGGCGGCCGACAGCTGCGTGGGGCCCAGCCGGCCGGGGCGCGGGCGCGGGTGGCCGTGGGGAAGGAGGTGCGCCGCGGGGACGCCCAGAGGCCGGGGAGCCGGGCGCCGGCCGCCCCCCGCGGCCTGGGAGACGCGCTGCGTGAGCGCCGACCGCCTGCGGGACTGGCGGCGGCCGCGGGGGAGGAGAGCCGAGGCCAGGGCCGCGGGCGCCAACGAGCGGGGGGCTGGCGGGACCCCTGGGGCTGCGGGCCCGGCCGAGGCGGCGGGGGACCCTGGGGCCGTGTGGGTGGACGGGGCCGTGGGGGAGCCGCAGGTGGTGGGGCCCGTCGGGTCAGTGTGGGTGACCGGCGCCGGGCGGGAGGAGGAGGGCGTGCTTGACTACAGCCCCCGGGGCTGTGAGCGGAAAGGCCGCCCGGGCTCCGCGGGGCACGAGAGCATCCTGGAGCTGTGGCTGAAGGTGCGCGCCATGAGGGCAGCCTCGGGCCGCGGGGAGGGAAGCAGGGTGGAGCTCCACCCGGTGTCTGCGGGGGAGGGTCCCGTGGAAAGGGGTGTCCCTGGCCGGGCTTCCTGGGTGGAAACAAGCCCGGCTGGCCTCACAGGGCCCTGGGTGGAAGGGCAGGCCAGGGCAGCCCCCGGGGCCCCGGGAGGATCTGCAGCTGTGGGGCTAGGGGCAGTTTGTGCGATGGCCTCGGGCTCGTGTGGGCAGGGACAGGCCATGGGCCTGCTTCCCCGGGGTGTGCCTGCAGCCCTGGGGACAAGTTCCGGGATTATCCCATACCTGCTGAGGAGAGGACAGGCTTTGGGGGTGCCTGGAGCCATGGGGTGGCCTGAGGCTGTGCAGAGAGTGGTGGACTGTGGGGCTGCTCCGGATCTGTGGGACGGGGGGCAGCGGGCGCAGGTGCCGGGGGCACTGGCCCGAGAAGCGGTCTGTGGGGACACCCCGGGCCTGTGGGGAAGGGGACAGGCTGCGAGGATGCCTGATGCTATGGGGGCACACAGAGGCATGGAGGAGGAAGCAGCCTCTGTGGGTGCCTTGGGCACGTGGCAGAGGAGGCAGGCCGTGGAGGGGATGGGCTCTGGGGGTGTTCCTGGCATATGGGGTGTTGGACAGCCTGTTGGGGTGCCTTGTGCTATGGAAGAGGAAGCCAGATGTGAGGGTGACCCAGGATTCAGGGAGAGGGGACAGGGCGTGTGGGTAGAGACCGGGTCTGGAGGTGACCCGGGGCCGTGGGCAGCTGCACAGACCGTAGAGGTCAGTGGCCGTGATGAGCAGGAGGTAGGCCCTGGGGGTGCTCCAGGCCTGTGGGGTATAGGGCCGGGAATGGGGGTACCTCCGACTCTGGGGAAGGAGACAGGCTTTGGGAATGTACCGGGTCTCTGGGGGACCGAGCAGCCTGTGGGGGTGTCGCAGGCTGTGGTGGTACCACCAGGAATCCTGGGAGAACAGGAGAGCTATGGAGGTGTCCCTGGCCTGTGGGAGAGGCAGCAGGCTCTGGGGGTGCCTCTGGCTGACGCAGTGCCTGGGATCGATGGGGAGGATACAGGGTCCAGGAACGTCGTGAGCCTGTGGGAGAGGCCGGCTGTGGGGGAGCAAGAGGCGCTGGTGCCTATAGCTTCAGGGGTTCCTGGGCCCGCGGATCAGGAGGCCGGCTGTGGCGACGACCCCTGTCTGTGCAGAAGGAGACAGGCTGTGGGGTGGCCTGACCTGCAGGGGATGCCTGAGGCTGCAGTTTTGCCCAAGCACAGGTGTGCCCCGGCAGGGGTGCCCCCAGCGGTGGGTATGCCTGGGCCTGGAAGGGGGCCTGCCAGGGTGCCTGCCGCGGTGTGGGTGTCTGGCCCTGCGTGGCAGGAAGGCAGCTCTGGAGAGGTCTTGAACCTGAGGGAGAGGGTTCAGAGCCCTGCAGCACCGGTGGCAGCAGGGGTCCCTGCAGCTCCTGAGGAACTGTGGTCTGTGCGGGAGGACGCTGGCTCTGCGGGTTTCCCCGGGTCGTGGGGAAGGAGACAGGATGTTGGGGTTCCTGAAGCACCTGGGCTCAGGGAGGAGACAGGCCCCAGGGGTGTCCCGAGATTTTGGGGAAGGAGACCGAGTGCCAGGGTGCCTGGGACTGCCGAGGTGCCCACAGCTGCCAGGGTGTCTGGTCCTCTGGGGATGGAGACCGGCTTGCCAGGAAGGAGGCAGACTGCAGAGGTGTCCACAGCTGGTGGGGCGCCCGTGGCCCCCAGCACACCCAGGCCTGTCCTGGAGGAGTCCACTGCCAGAAGTGTTGCAGGCCTGTGGGGGGAGAGGGAGACAGCAGGAGGACCTGCGGACGCCTGGGCTCCCACAAGGATGCGGGTGCCCAGCACCGCCAGGATGCCCGTGCCCACGGGGGAAAGTCTGGGGCCTGGTGGCCCCTCAGGCTTGTTGGGAGGGAAACGGGCTGCTGAGATGCCCACGGCTGCTGGCCCTTCCGTGGCTGTGGGCGCCTATGGGCCGATGATGGCTGATTCCTGCTCTGGGGACTTCTCAGGTATGTGGGGACAGAGACTGGTGACGGACACGCCCACTGCTGCCAGGGCTGCAGGAGCTGCCGGTGGGGCGACTGGCTCCGATGGGGTCTTGGGCCCGTGGAGGAGGAGACCCAGCGGACCAGCCACTGAGGCTGTGCGGGTGCCTGTGTCTTTAGGGATGCTCGCAGCTATAGGGGTTCCTGTGACGGGACGCGCGCCTGCCGCGGTGTGGGTGACAGGGTGTACGGGAGAAGAAACCGCTGCGGCTGCCTCGGGCCTCCCGGCGCCGAGGAGACAGTCCATGGAGGGAGCTTCGGGGGAGGAGGTAGGAGGCAGAAATGTGGAGCTGGCCCCAGGGAGCCAGGCGGCGGGGGTGTCTCGCACCCATGGCTGTGGGACCAGGTTGTGGAGCTGCCCGAGGCCTGGCGGGGGAGAGGCCGACCACGAGAGCATGTGCTTCGCATCTGGGACTAGAACTGCCGTGGGGGTGCCTGACGCGGTGGGGGCGCCCCTAGTTTCAAGGCCGGAAACAGGCATCAGCCGTTTCAGGGTTCCCCCGCAGCAGGGTGGGGGGGCCAGGCCAGAGGAGCATCTGGAGCCAGGGGGAGGGGGAGCCCTCTGGGAGAGCACCTTGTGGGGGAGGGCCGGTTGAGGGGGCCTTCCAGTAGCACGTTAGGGAGCAAGTGGGGGGGGTCCTGGGCTCTGCGGGAGGGGACAGGTGGGGGGAGGTCTGGCCTGGGATATGGACTGAGACACAGCTTGTCGGGGTGTCTCAGGATTGGAGCGAGAGGCTTCGTAGAGATGTCCTAGGGGATGTTGGGTGACATACCGGGAGGTTTCCTGGAGTGGCAGAGAGGGAACAGGTTGCAAAGAGAGGGGTGTCCCGGGCATTTGTACAGGGGGTCAGCGTGGGGGTGGGTGTCCCTGGACTTTGTGTTTGTGTATGTGCGTGTGTGGCGTCACTCAGTATCACCTAGTGTTTCCTGGCGGAGAGTGGGAAGGGGCCAACCTCGTCAGACTTGCGGACAGGCTCATCCGCCTCTGCGGGCCACGTGACTCTGTGGCTACAGCCCCTGGACTGTGGTGGGGTCAGCCAGCAGCGGGGTCGCTCGCTCACCTGCCCCTCCCATCTCGACAGCTCTAGGAATCGGGGGTCTCGAACAGCTGCCTTGATGTTCCTGCCGATGTGTCTCTTTGGAAGCAAATCCTGTCTGTGAACCTTGGGTTTACTCAAAAGCTGAAATTAGGGGTTTTTTCTTAAGACCTGGATTTCCCTACTGATTTACCATAGGGTTCTTTGACAGAACAAATACCCCAGTACATTGAAAACTAGTCAGTTTGTGGAAAATCAGCTTAATTCAACACGTGTTGAGTTCACGTGTCTGTCACGCTCCAAGCACAGTGTTGTGGGAAATACCAGAGAAGAGCAGGACAGGTCCTTCCCCTCCGGGAGCCTTGTCTAGCCGGGAAGATGGGACTGACCCTGCGGCGTAGGTAAATAACAGCGTGAGGCGAGAGGGTGATGAGCTCGTGCTGAGCGCAGGGGTGCCGTGGTGTCTGGGGGTGGGGGGCCCAGCCCACGCCAGCTCCCAGACTGCCTTCCTGTCTCTGCCCGCTGTGGGCAAGGGGTTCCAGCTCACTCCGCAGACCCCCAGCAGGCCTTCTCCGAGTCCTGCACAGTCCCGGGAGCTGCCTGGGCGTGCGGAGCTGGCGCTGTCTTACTAGCACTCCGGGCTCGTGTGCACGCGGACCGTGTGTCGGTGAGACGCCGTGCGGGAGGGTGCTTGCCCGCTGAGCTGCAGCTCCGGTCTTCTGGGTGACCCTTGAGATCTGACACCTGGAGCGGCTCAGCATTGAGTCGTTAGAACACTGTGCCCATATTCTCTCAGAGAGGAGGATTCCCAAAGGGAACATGCTTTGGTGCCAGTCCTGGAGCCCTCGCTGCCACTCGTGAGGCCGCTGTGGGCGTCTCCGGAATGTCGTTGCACGGGCTCGGTGCCGCGTTGGCCTCCTCGTGCTGCGGCTCTGAAGCAGCTTTCTCTCGTTGTAGGTGATGACCTGGGGAGAGCAGGGCCGGCCGGCGGTTGGGCTCTCTGCAGCGCCCCGAGCGCTCTGACCGGATGGGCCCGGGCAGGCCAGCCGCTGCCGGGGCTCACCTGGCAGCCTGCGTCCAGCTACATGGGAGCAGCGACCCCAGGACCCTCCAGGCCCAGGTAGTTCTCTTGCCTTGTGGTCTTCAGATTTCTGTCGTGAAACATTTTGAACAAAAGTGGGAAGAAATGGGCAGTGAACACCATTTAAGCCACCTTCAAGATTCAGTGGTGGTGTTTTCTCTTGGGTGCTTGCAGACCCGCTCCTGAGGCGGCTGCAGGAGTCACGGCGCTTCCTTTCTAGATGTTCTGGAATACTCAGGTGTTTTAGGATAGGCCTAAAAGTGAGCTCTCTTGCCTAACCAATATCGCACCTAACAAAGTGGACCCAAAACCATTCCCTGATACAATCTAATAGCCCATTTTCCCTCCGCTTCACCCAGTTGTCCCCAAAAAGGGTTTTCCCCCAACACTGAATGTATGAAAATCTTCCCACAACAACGCTGGATTCTGCAGCGAACGCCCAAGTTGCGGGATGATTGCGTTGTGCTTGTCTCATCGCGCGTCTGCCCTCCAGAGTCCGTCCGTCAGCCCATCTTGCCCCAGTACACGTGGGCGTCCGGTGCAGACACAGGCACCCGGCATGCCTTGGTATGCACATTACATGCTAGAATTTGTTCTTGGAGCTCGTTCTGAGAATTTCAGCTTTTTCTTCTGACACAAACTTCACATCTGAAATGAATACACCAGAATGTACGCGTGTTGTCACATTTACTGAGTTTTGACGAACGCATAAGAAGTGTTGCATGTTCCTCCGTCAGGCAGGGTCTTTGCCGTTTCCCCAGAGAGGTCTCCCCCGCCCCTTCCTGCCCTCCCGTGGCCACTAGCATTGGGATTCTTTGCACCGTAGATGGGTTCTGCCTGTTCCAGGCCTTCCTGTGAATGGAATACTGTGCCACGGGATCTCGTGTGTCAGGCTGCTTTGGGCGTGACGTCTGGAGCTCTGCCAGCGCGGCTGCTCTGGACCACCGAGCGGTGTCCCCGGTAGGAGCTCCGGCTATTTGTTCTCTGGCTGCTGGTTTGGGTTCCTGCAGATGCAGCCACTGGGGGCTTCCTGGTACATCTCTGTTTGTAAAGGTGTTTTCACATCTCAGGTGCATACCGGCGAGTGAAGTCGCTGGGACGTGGGATGGCATGTGTTCCTGGTACATCTCTGTTTGTAAAGGTGTTTTCACATCTCAGGCGCATACCGGCGAGTGAAGTTGCCGGGACGTGGGACGGCATGTGTTTAGTTTAAGAAACCAGCAGACCTTCTTCCTGGGGCTGTGCCATCACCCGTCCCTACTGACAATGACCGAGTGCCCCAGTTGCTCCGTGTCTTTGCCAGCCTGGGTTGGTTTTTTAAATTAGGGCCCTTCTGCTGGGTGTGAAGGAATGTCTCGTTGTAGTTTACCAAGAAAATTGAGGAAGAATATTGATGTAGTTTGAGACTGACAAGATACAGCAGTGGTATGCGGAATTCCTGGGTACGCTTCTTGCAGACTCCCCAAGTGTCAGCCCTCCAAGTACATTTCCCCTTCGTCTCCCCTGTGTCTCTGTCTTTCTGTACACACATGCGCTTACACGTATATGCACTCGTGTGCTCACACGGACATAGGCATCCACAGGCACACACATGTGCTTACATGTACATGCACACATGTGCACACGTGTGCTCATGTACACACGCACCCATGGGCACACATGTGCTCTCACGTACACACGCACCACACACATGTGCACTCATGTACACATGCACACATGTGCACACATGCGTTCACACATACGCACCTATGCACACACGTGCGCTCACACGTACACACAAGCTATGCACACGTGAGCACTCACATACGCACCCCAGTGCACACATGCACTCACACATACAATGCACCCATGTGAAGACGTGCTAACACATACACACACGTGCAAGCATGCAGTCACGTACACACGCACCCATGGGACACGTGCTCACACATACACACACACCCATGCACACACGAGCTTGGGCTCTTCCCCACCCCCCAAGGCATTCTGGTTATTTTTACTTTTGCAGGTTAGACGTTGTCCAGACAAGGCTGTACCTCTCACGGGATGTCCGTCAGTCCGCGCCCTTTAGACGATGACCCTTTGTTTCTTCTCTCAGAATCTCCAGGGAGGCCTTAAAGTTGTGTCCGAAATACTTTCCTGAAGTCTGACCACAGCGGGTTCATTTTAAATGGACCCTTCGTCATGTGACGCAAAAACACCCTTTATTACAAGGCTCGGGAGGCCGTCCACGGGGCAAAGGGCTTGCAGTGGAGGCAGGGACTTGGGCTGCTGACCAGCCATTGGGCCCGCAGTCATAAACTCGCTCCTTGTCCTTGACTTGTAATCCCGGAACGGGTACTCCATCCTAAAGAAATTCTTTAAAATGAGAAAAAAAGGGGGGTCTGGGGGGCTCAGTGGGTTAAGCCTCTACCTTCGGCTCAGGTCATGATCTCAGGGTCCTGGGATCCAGCCCCGCTTCCTCCAGTCTCTCTATGTCTGCCTCTCTGCCTGCTTGTGATCTTTGTCAAGTAATTAAAACAAAACAAAACTTAAAAAAAAATGAGAAAACAGCTGAATGCGTGGAGATATTATTTTAAGTCCTATTTCTGTTAGTGGAAACCTGGAACTATCTAAGTGCTTAAGAAGGTTGAGGGCCATTTGTGGGATTTTGGAAAAAGCCGCCATGAAAAATGACAATGTTAGCCTTTGGAAACACGCCTCTGCTTCTTAAGGGAAAAACCAAACAAAACTTATACCTATTATAGTTAAAAGGACAAAGCTTGAGGTCTGCGTGGGAAGGGGTATGTGGACCTGGGGGTGCGGGATGCCCTCGGGTGCGGGGTCAAGGTCATGGTGGAGCCAGCATCATCTGATGGCAGCTCCTGTGTGGCGGGGTGTCCGGGGGCTGTGTCTGCAGAGCTCATGCCACCTGCGTTGTCTCTGCCAGAGCCTGACCTTTTGAGACCATATGGGGTTGGTAATGGGGGGTGAGGGGCAGGGGTCCCCACGGGCCACTGTGTGAAGCTCTGCAGGTTGCCTTTCGGAGGAGCAGCCCGTGTGCTGCTGGGAGGGGCAGGGTGGGACCGTGGCCTGGGGACGTGAGCAGGGACCGCAGGCATGTGATGAGGTCAGGGGTGTCCAAGAGTGGCTGCCCCGGTCCCCACAGGAGAGTGCGTCTTAGCACTAAGGGTCGTGCAGGGAAGTTGGAAATGGGGCCTCAGACGCACAGCATGTGGGACGCACTTTGCTCATGGGCTCTTGCACTCGTCTGTTTTGTTTAAAGAACCAGCTGCAGTTCAGCAGGAGCATGCCCGAGCACGCCGGTACCCTGGCCGTGCGCTACTCCTGCCCGCACGCCATCCGGATCGAGAAGCTGAAGCACTCGTACCGCGAGTCTTACGGCCGTGAGGATGCGGGCTGGCATGGCGGTGGCCACGGGAGCGGCTCGGCCTCGTTCTCCGTCATCTCGGAGGAGCGGCTCAGCTACGCCGTGCACCTGGCCAAGAGGGACGTGAAGCGCAGGCAGCTGGAGGAGCGTGTCGGGCGGTGCCGGCTCGGCGGGGAGCCCCGGCTCTCTCGTCCGCACAAGGTCCCCGAGCCCAGCGTGCAGAGGAAGGAACCGGGGAGCCGGGACATGTGTCCTTGCGGCCACCAGCCGTCCACGGTGGGAACGTCCTGCGCGGGTGCCAAGGTGTATCTGTACACACCTCGTCCGGCCCAGGCCCACCTGGCTGTGCCCCACTCGCCCCCCACCCGTGACCCAGGCCTGGAGCCCCGCCCCAAGCTCGGCAGCCATCAGCAGCTGCTGGACGTGCAGCGGCTCCGGAGGGAGCTGAGCGCTTGCATCCACAAGATGGAAGAGGTCACGAAGAAAGGTGAGAGCAGCCAGACTCTGCGGGTGCGGGACGGCCCAGCACGCTCGTCCGGGTTAGTCCACCCCCTCCCTGCGGCGAGCAGGGCCCACAGGGCAGGTGGCCCAAGGGTCTGACCGGAGTCTGTCCTCCTGGGAGTTGGCCTTGCCCTGGCCCCCGTCAGGCAGAGGTGCCCGACACCGCCCTGTTCTGCAGGCTGCCACATCGGCTGGTGACGCCTCGCCGTCGGGCACCTGCTGTCAACCTCGGGTCCGATGGCTCCCGAACGCAGACCCTCCTGCCGTGTTCTGCTCTGGAGAATGATCTTTAGCTTGTCCAGAAAGGAGCATCGTGTGTGCATGCTTCGATAAAGCCGTTTGCACGGTGGCAGCGTTTGGATGGACCTGGGACGGGGACCAAGGGCATGGGGGGGCATCTGACCTCCAAGCACAAGGGCGGTGCGTGGTTCTCAACACCGTTCCCCACAGTTGCTCAGTGCGCTCTGCCCTGTGTTTCCCCATCTCCTGGTGGCGGGTTTGGGTTAGGCTGGTGGTTCGGAGAGAGGAGCCCAGCTTCCCAGCTGCAAGGAGCGGGGGGCTGAGCAGCCCTGGGGACCACGACTAGGACCCCCCAGGTCTGTGGGGACCCTCTGCAGACACATGCAGGTGCCACGGGGAGTTTATGCTGCCTTCCCGAGATAGATGTGGCCCAACAGCACGACCGCAGAACGCAGGCGAGGGTATGGCGGCACGGGGCAGACTGGACTTGTGTCTGCGCTTCCGAGCGGCCGGCTGAGGGGACGAGGGGGTTGCTGCAGAGTTCACAAGGTCTGAAACAGCACGGCTGGCTGAGAAAGAGCTTTGTCCCCTGTCTTCCTGGTGAGTGTGTCGTGCAATGTCATGGTGGTGGCAGGAGTGTCGCGGCTTGTGTCTAATGCCGTTCCTTGTTGTGGGCCGCCGGGTCACCCCGTGGCCTCCTGTGCTGGAAGCTGTGCTGTCCGGGGACGGAGCCACGGGGACCCCCACTCTGACGATGTGGCCTGACCCGGGACCTTTCCAGAGAGCTCCTCAAACTCTCTGGGGCAGGACCGGCTTGGGTGATTTCTCGTTTATTTTGTCTTTCAAGACTTTATTTTAGAGAGAGTGCGTGTGCACATGTGAGGGCAGAGAAGGGGCAGAGGGAGAGAGAGTGGCAAGCAGACTCCTGGCTGAGCACGGGGCTCGGTCCTGGGACTGTGAGGAGCTTGACTGTAGCCAGAATCAGGAATCGGAGGCGAAACCAGCCCATCCGCCCAGGCACCCCCCCGTTTGTTTATTTTTTAGTTTAAAATTTCAGTTTGTCCCAAACCCATACGTTCTGAACTGTAGCGGGAAGTGTCACCACAGTGGCAAGTAGCTGTAAAAACCCGTCGTGCACACTGTACATTTCTGCGCTTAGTTTTCGTGGGCTGGGCACAGTTTGCCGCGGCCCCTCTGCGGACCACCCTCCGGGGACCCTGACGTGCCCAGGGGTGCTCCCCGGGGGTGGCTCCGTGGACCGGCTGTCTGAGAACTGCCTGCAAGGCGGCAGCTCGGAGTCCCGTCAGAGCCAGCATCCGTGACATTTGTGCATATGTGCGGCGCCCGCATCTCTCCACGGTGCATGGCTGACGTGAGACGCAGGTCTGGCTTGTCGCTCCATGACCCGGTGTCTGTACCCACAACTCCTGATCTCAGTGTGTTGCTTTTTTGATGAAAAAGATTATTTCATCATTTGGCTTCTTTCTTTTTTTTTTTTTCTTTCTTTTTTACCCCCATAATTTGGCTTCTTAATGAATAAATGTTAAATATTTGTAATTATAAAATACACTTGCACTAATAAAACACGGCTTTTCCTGACTTGTATCCTGGAATTTTGCATCAGACCCTTTTCGGGATAAATGTATTGGAAAACCACTGCCTCGGCGACGGGAGCCTGCGCAGCTGAGTCCCCCAGAAATGGCTTCTCCCAGTGCGTGTTCTGTGAACCACGTGTGAGGGTCTCCCTGACAGACACGCAGGGCTTCGGACATTTGAGCAATCTTAATGCGTTAGGAAAGGATTTCTCTGTCGGACTCAGAATAAGAAAGTATCAGAGAAATCTTGCTGAACAGTAAATAGGGCAGTAAAGGGTTTCTGAAAAAAATAGAAAGCATCACTGGTTTGGGCTCAGTAGAAAGAACTTCAGAGTGGTGGGCGGCGCTTGGCAGTGGCCGAGGCTGTCCCCTGGGGGTCTGGTTCCCGGACCAGAGCGGCGGGAGCTCAGCTGGAGGTCCTTGCATCTTCCCACCGAGTCCACTCTGGCCCGTTCCTTCCTCCCTTCTTGGCTGGTGGAGAATTTGTGGTGGGGGCCCCATTTTTTTTTTTTTTTTTTTAAATAGAACTAGAGCTCTTCAACTTCATGATGTCTCGGAATAATGGACATTTTCGTGCATTTCCATATGTAGCGTGTAATCCACTTTTGGGGAAACGCTGTTTTCAGACAGGTTGCAAGTGGCTTTGGACCCTGATGAGGAGCGGCGCGCCCGCGTCAGGAGGCAGGAACAGGCCGTGAGCTCGGCCCGGATGCTGTATGTCCTGCAGCAGCAGGTATGGGGAGCGGGGGAGCGGCCACTGGCGTGGGGGGCCCCGTCGCAGTGGCACAAGCACAGTGTCCCGTGTGACTTCTGCTGCACTGTGGACACTCAGTTTCCTGAATGTGTGGCCCTGCGGTCCCTCTTCTGTCGTCTGCCGTCACGTGCATCTGTGTACGGCAGGTATGGGGTGACATCCTTCAAGGTGGTTTTTGGTTTCATGGGGTCATAGGTTCTTGCGAACCTGTGTGAGTCCTCCGGAAAGTGGTGCTGGTACAGCACCTGTTTCTGGGCAGAGTCTGGTGGACAGTGGCTTGGGGACCCTGAAGCCCCCAGGCCCGGCTGGCTCCCAGGGTTAGAGGGACGGGGCCTCGTCACTTGCACACTTGCCTCCTGTCCGTGTGGGGCCGGACACCGAGTACTGTGGGTCACGTGGCTATCTCCTCTCCTGGCGACGGCGGAGGCGTGCTGAGGGTCTTGTTTCTTGGCTCGTGAACAGACACTCACGTTGCTTATGTTGCAATGCTTCTACAAGTCTGTGCTGACTGTGGTGCCTTCCTCACGAACTCACTTTTGACTCCTTTCCTGTCACTTAAATCACATGTTGGCTTTATTGCTTGAACCGAAAGCCAAATGTTTTCATTTGAAGGGAATTACCTGAGTTAGACTTTATTCCGTATTGTCCTGGGCTTGTCCACATGTCTGCCCCTGCAGTCGTTCCAGAACACGCACCTGACCCTGTCAGGGCTCTCTGGACACAGTACAGCCCACGCCCCAGCGTGGCCTCCCCCCTTCCCAGCGCTGCCTTTACTTTTACTTTACTTTACCTTTACTTTTACCTTTACTCCCTCCTGGGATGTTCCCGTGACACTGGGACCAAGGATGGGAGGGGAACACCGTGCTCCGTTCACTGTCTCGAACTGGAAGCCGGGGACTGTGTTTCGGGTCACGAGTGGAGGGCCTTGTCTCATTCCAAGTGACTTGAATTAAATAGTGGTTATATTTGAGCAAGACAGGTCTGCGGACGGGTCTGAGGCCTTCACTTTCCCCCTTTACGGAACAGGTGAAGGAGATCCAGGAAGAGTTGGATAAATTGAGCCCACGTGAGACCAGACACACGAAGAAGGTGCTGGCGCAGTTCTGCCACCATGAGTACTGCTTGTCGATAAGTTGCATTTCCAGCGTACGGGGGGGACTGTGTGCGTGGCTTCTCCACAGTAATGGGTGCGCGGCTCTTACAGAAATGTGTCTAGGGGGACACGAGCCACGTACATATCCTGCATTTGGGGTGGCCCTCCAGGGCGCAGACTCTGAAAATAGATTCTATTGCTGTTGGTGTCAGAGTAGGGGGTGCTGGGGCACTCGGTTGGGGGAGCTCCTGCTTTCCACTGGGGTCATGGTCCCAGGGTCCTGGGATCGAGTCCCACATCGGGCTCCCTGCTCAGCAGGGAGTCTGCCTCTCCCTCTGCCCCTCCCCCAGCTTAGGCTCCCTCTCTCCGTGTCTGTCAAATAAATAATAAAAATCTTAAAAAAAAAAAAAAGAAACGATAGGAAGGTAAAAGCTCTTTGTCGGAGAAAACCTCTCAACTTCGTGATCGCCTTACCGTGAAACAGTGTCAGGGTATGAGGTTGTCTGTAAAGAAGCAAGGCCACAAGAGCTGGTGCGGGTGGGACCGCCATGGAGAAGTTGTGAGGCCTCACCTGCTCCCCCCTGTCCTTCCTCACCAGTCATGGGCCATGTCGCGGCTGGCGGCTGCCCACCGAGGAGCCATCCGGGCCTTACAGGTGTTGGTGACGCAGCTTACAGACCGCGGGGAGCACCCGGTCCCTGCGCGCTGCCGGGAGCTGGGTGGCCTCATCCGCCAGCTCTCTCTCTGCTCCGCCAAGCTGCACGCCGACCCCTCCGTCCCTGACGTGGTTGCGGACATCCTGCGACAGATTGAGGTACAGAGTGGGCTCCGGGTTTTGCTCAGAGTGCTGTGTCTGAACAGGAAGGCCACGCGTGCTGTGGCCTGGATTGGCTGGGATTGAAGGGAAGACAGGATGAAGCTGCCACCTGGGGAACTCCAGCTTCGCAGAGGACACAGGGTGTCCCTTGTTTTCATGTCATCACTTTCGGAGTCGGGTCTGTAACGTTGTAACTCACTCGTTTGAGAACGGGCGGCTTGGGTGTAGCACCCACGTCGGCTCTTACCCAGGTCCGCTGACTCAGCAGAACATTCCGTCCCCTGACAGTGCCGCTCGAGAGAGAGCCTGTTAGCACAGAAAAGGAGAGCAGTAAAGCACTCTCGTTTAGTGCTTGCATGGGAGTGCCAGAGTGTGGTCCCGGCGGGCTTCTGGGAAGAAGAGGTGCTTGAAGTCCTGAGGGAGCATAGCCTCCAGTCTGGTGTGATGGCTGGAGATGTCTGGCCGTCCCCCGGCAGGTACTAGTCAGGACAGAGCCAGCAAGAACAGGGTGCCCTCATCTGTGCCGTCCTGGCCCTGCTTCTGTGCCGGCAGCCGCATAGGCTTTCTTACCAGCGCGCCACGGCCACTTTCCTCACACGCTGTCCCCCCGACTCTGTCTCCGGAGTTAGCTCCACCCCCATCCGTCCACGGACGGAAGGCGACCTTTGTATTGGTGAGACAGAGGAGGACAGGTGCGCCAGAGGGAGCCTTCTGGGCGTTGACTAGCCCTCGGCGGCCCCCGTGGCCCCTCTGCCTTGACCATTGCTGGTGCGGTGTGTCGGGGGCAGGTGCAGGGCGCACCAGGGCCTGGAGGACACAGCCCGGGAATGTCATCGGGCACAGACCCCCCCCACGACAGTGTGGCGGGGCACCTGGTGCTCTGGGCACTTGCCTGTCATAGACAGTGTGGGCACATCCTCATGGTCCTGGAAAGATCTCAAGGGCTTATCGAGCCTGTCCCCAGAGTCCGAGCAGGAGCACCTGAAAGGTGAAGTTTCTTATATGTGTCTGTCAGTAATGCGAGGAACTCAGTCCCGTTGACGGGCTGCAGCTGCCAGGGCTTGCTGTCCTCGTGCCTCCTTGTCCCCAGAGTAAGTGTCGGTTTGCACGGACCCGCTGGAAGCCAGGCCCTCGCTGCCCGCTGATGAGTGAGGGCTGTGTCCTGTGGGAACGGGGGCCGTGCGGGGCCGGGCGGCCAAGGCCCTGGGCATGCTGCGTGGTTTATGAAAATGTATGTTACACGTGGTTACTTTGCCCACTGAAAGGCCGTTTGAGTGCGTGGGATTTTGATTGAGAATTAAGACTTCTAAAAAGCATGCAGGCGGAGCTCTGCGGACCGTGGTTAGTTTCTGACATGTGGATGCGGAGCCTTCAGACGTCCCGTTCTTGAGCTTTGTGCTGTTGGTTTCAGCGAACTAGATGTGTAAATAACGTGCACATTTCTTTTATTAATGATGCAATGTCCTCAGTAATGGCGTTTCCCAGCTAAACGACAGCCGTTGGCCACTAGACAAGGCCGTGCTAGCGACACGTGTCTCCAGGGGCCCGATTTTCGGGTTTGTGATCAGCAGTCAGGCTTCAGTGAGGTAATCTAAGATGGTAATGGACTATCTCATTGTAGGCTTTGGAATCCCTCCTGGAAAAGAAACTGTCACCGAAAAAGAAGAAAAGTTTCACGGAAATTCAGAGCAGGTTTCCTGTTGGTGGCCACGGGGCCTTAGAGAGATGGCAGGGTCCTTCGCCCAAGAGCGAGAGGAGACCCCTCGTAGCGAAGGAGACGTTTCCCGAGGAAGCAAGGTGGCCTTCGGGGGCGAAGACGCTCCTGGCTGGTATGTGTCCTGAGACGTTCACAGTGTGGTGTCTGGTTCCTCGAGGCCGTCTGGTTGACACAGACGCTGCGCGGGGCAAGGTCAGGATTTAAAACCTGCTCCGTAGCAGGTGCACCCGAACCCAGAGAAGCAAGTCGCAACCAGAGTACGTCCTTGGGTGGGAGGCTGGAGGGTCCCCCTGCAGAGGAAATGTCCCTCCATAGAGGAGAAGTCCCCCCCATAGAGGAAGGCTCCTCCTAGAGGGAGGGTCCCCCCGTAGAAGAAGGTCTCCCGTAGAGGAGGGTCCCTATAGAGGAGGGTGGGGAATGTCAGGTTCCCACACCGTCGTGCTCGGGTCCCCTAAAGGAGATTCCTGAAGAGCTGGAAGTGAGAACCCCGCTTTTTAAACGCATGTTTGTTTAGATTTTAATGATAGGCACACGCACACACAGACACCCGCGTGACGGATGTGTGTGTTTAGTGCAGGTAATGACTCGTCCCCAGAGCTGGAGTGCTGGCCTTGAACCTGGGCCTACAGGGATGTTGTGGGGAACAGTGAGCAACAGAGTAGGTTTCCCACATCCTTGCCAAGTACCTTATGTCGTGAAACTGAGACTTTTCCAGTGTCTGGATGGAAATAGTCCTTCCTGTTGGTCCTGTCCTATCCTGTCTCCGGGGAGGAAGGTCATTGGTTCTCCCAGACGTGTGCTCCCTCCTCTGGGCGCCCTCCACCCTCCGGGGGCTGGCGTCGTGCTCGTGGGCGTGGAGACTTTCTTCCTGCGCTCTGGGCCTCCTCTGTGGGTTTACACGGGTGGTGGTGGGTCTCTCTCTCAGTCACTTGCTTTTCGCTTGGTTTGCGACACCTCTCCTGGTATGGGGAGACCTGCATCTGGTGCACGGAGCCTGTGTTCTCACATGTTTTCCTCTGTCGGGAGGCTCTTCCTCCTTGTTCTTCACAGTAGGCTGACGGCGACGATGTGTCTTCAGAGCAGAAGGTGCTTGTCAGGTTCTGGGGCAGAGGCCGTGGGGCTGGTGATGGGCCCCTGAGCTCACGGGCTGGCCTGGGGGGACGACATCATCCTGCCCTTTGTCCACTCCCGCAGGTGAAGGGCACAGTCTTTGGCCAAGGAGAATTCCTGACGTAGGGTTAGTAGGAATTCCTGGGTTCCTTGTTAGGTCGTTTCCAGTTTTCTCATTTTATGATTTTTTATTCCTGCTGTGAACGGGATTGTCTTTTCACTGCATGTTGAAATGGGTTCTAGCTCCTTGCGGCAGAGCCCTGGAACGCTTTCCAGACAACCGGGTGGCGACCACACTGCCTCTTGTTGGTTCTGAGGGATGCAGTGGGACTTTCCTGAAATCAGGATGCAGTCTTAGGTTGATGATACCTTACAAGTAATTGGTCATGTTTTAAAATTTGTTGTTGGTGCATAAAATAAGGGCATGTCTTATACTCGATGTTTTAGATTTGATGAGTTAGTTAATTCTTCTGTGTTTTTCTGGATACACAAGATCACCGACAAATAAGTAAAGTTCTGCTTCTCTCTTTGCGATTTTTATACCGTTTCATTCTTCTCTTTCTCCTTTACTGGACAGAATTTAGTTCAGAATAACACTGGGTGACAGCTGCAGTGGGGACCCCGCCGCCCCGGGTTTCGTGGGGTCCGTTTCCATGCCATGCTTGCTGTCAGGGTCGCACATGTCCGCATGCAAAGTGGGGGAAATAATCTTCTGTTTCTTCTTCCAGCTTTGTGAAGAGATTTTCTTTTCCTCTACTTTTTCCTTTTTTAAGTTAAACCGATAGAGGTATACATTGATAGTGTTTTAAAGTAATTCCAAGATTTTAATACTGAATTTTTTAATGGGCCATTGGTGTCGGTGTGGATGAACCCAGTGAACTTATTTTCCTGTTTCAGTTGGAGTAGAACGTAGAGTTGGACGAGCGCACAAAGCGTGGGTGTGCAACTGCATTTGCTGTCAGAAAACAAACCTCTGTGGAGCCGCTACCTGCGTCAGGGACTCGAACATTCCAAGCACTGAGAAGTTCCCTCCAGTCTCCACGCCTCGTCTCCTCCCCTCCCCAAAATGCACTGTTCTTCCCGTTTTTTGCTGGACTTTGGTTTCTGTCGGACCTGGAACTTTGTGAGCTCTTTAGGAATGGAGGTGCATGATCGGTATTTTCGCGGGACGGGCCTCTCTCTGCTCGCGTTTGTGTGGCTGGGACCTGCTGGCGCTCGCGGCTGTGTCCCACCATAGGAGCGTAGCACGGCTCCGTGGTCCTCACCGTTGGGGCTTCCCAGGTCTGGACGATACCGAGAAGGCTCTTCTCCCGTGTGTTTCGGTGTGTGTGCACGTGTGTTTGTGTTGGGTGTGTTCCCAGGCGTCCCGGTTGGGGCGTCGCGGCTGGTTCCACCGTAATAGCGAAGGTTCTCTTCAAAGTGGTTTTACCGGTTTTACGCTGACCAGCAGCGTGTGGGATCCGCTGCCACCCATCCTTGCCCACACTTGTCAGTTTTTGTAAGTGTAGCCCCTGCTTGGTGTGTAGACCGTCTGGTTTTGTGTTCAAAGATTGATTGACTTGATGAGAGCGGGAGGCGGCAGGGGGCGGACGCTGCTGCATGCGGAGCCCGACACAGGGTTTGACCCCAGGACCCTGAGATCAGACCTGAGCCAAAATCAAGAGTGCGACGCTTAACCCACTGAGCCGCCCCGGCGCCCCTCATTCCGGCTCGGATTTACATTTTCTGTGTGAGTGACAGTGTGTTTTCTTGTGTTTATGCCCTGTTCGCACGCCTCCTGCTGGGCGGTGCCGGTGCAGGTTCCTTGCCGCCCTCCCTCCCTCTTTCACGTTCTCCTTCTCTTCCTTCCTTTCCTTTTTTTTTTTTTTTTTTTGGTTCCCAGAATTGGATTTATAGGAGTTCTTTGTAGGACTGCTCTGCGTGTGGGCCCTGCCTCAGTGTTCTGTGCTGTACACACACACTGGGACGATACTGCAGCTTCTGCCACGGCAGCGGTGCTGGGACGGACAGAATCGGTCATTCGCTGGGGTCCGATGCTGCACTGTTTTCCTGTACGTCTTTTGGACAGCCGATAACCGATAACTGACAGCCGATAGTGTCCTGGGATTCTGACGAGTTAATGCCTCCTGAGGTCCCGATTCACAGACAGGGCTTGCGACTCAGTTGTCCTCAGATCCTCTCACGCAGCTTTCACTGCATTTACTCTGTGGCATGCCCTTGCGTGGCATCCTGGAAGCCCTCTGACTCCTGACATGCTTGCGGACGTGCAGACGTCTGGCTGACCTGCAGACGCTCCTGTTTTCTTACCTCTTTGTCAGCAGGTTGTGCTCTGCTGTGTGTGGAATCGTGAACGACCCCGGCTCACTCCAGCCTTTGCTCCTTTCTTGCCTTTTCTCCTGTGCTCTTGTGGCTTCGCACATGATCTGTCGACGGTTCGAGTGTCTTGTGCAGCGCGAGACTCGCGCTCTCCTTGGGCTTCCTCTTCGTCTGCTTGGAACCTGAGCCGTGAGACGCTCGGCCGTCAGGGCCGTGACATCGTTCCTGTCAGAACCTCGGGGCCAGCCCTTTGGGTGGTGCTCGTGTGAGGTCGCGTGGAGCTCACCGAGTCTCACGCCCCTGTCCCAGAGCTCTGGCCTCCGCTGCCAGGCTTGGAGCGTCTCCTGTGAGTAGCTGACTGTAGCGTGGTTAACTCGCTCTGGTGTCCAAGGTGCAGGACTCCCTTGAACGTTCAGCCTTGGTTCCTGAGTCTCCTCTGCCGATGTTTTCTCTGCCTGTGCTGGACTCTCCTGTGCTCATCAGCAGCTTCTTGGGTCACTGTTTCCTCTGCTGGGTTGGAGCTTGTGTGTCGCCGTGCACCTGACCTGTGTCCCAGTCTGCCGCCGATGCTGTGCACTGCCCTGGCGTGGATGTCTCCGAACTTGCCGGAGAGCGGTTAGATGTGCACGTCACGCAGTGTGGTTCTCCCTCCCCCTCACGGCTACGCGGTAGAACGCAGCCCCAGGTCGCTGCGCCTCTCCTTCCCACGCCCGCGAGACAGGCTCCCGGAGGCAGTGTGTCCGAGGTGGGGAAGGCTCCTGGCCAGCTGTGCGGTATGCTGCGGTCCGGGTGCTGGGGGGCGACAAGGACAGCTTCCCGGGCCTGCGCAGACGCGTCTCCTAGCTGGGTTAGAAGAGCGCAGGTGCCCGCAGCCGAGGTGGGGAAGTGAGCGCCTGCTTCGGGGGCAGCGGGCGGAGAGCTGCCGGCTTGCAGCTCCTGCAGAACCGACATGCAGAGCGGGAGCGCGGACACACGTCGTGACCCCGGGCGGAGGACGTCGTCTCTCAGCCTTCGTTTTTCCGTCTGTGAAGCGAGGACACTAGTCCTTATCGTGCGGGACAGACCCGGGTGTAAGTGGCACATCAGATAATCCCGAAGCGCCCTAAACGTGGCAGGTGTTTTTAGTTCCTCACCACAATCTCAAGCTACCGCGGGAGGGGCAGGTTGTGATAGGCAGATGGTAGCTGAGGAAACAGGTCTTTGGTAGCCATTAAAAATGAATTTTTTTTAAAAAGATTTTATTTATTTATGTGACAGAGAGATCACAAGTAGGCAGAGAGTCAGGCAGAGGGAGAGGGGGAAGCAGGCTCCCCACTGAGCAGGGAGCCCGATGCTGGGCTCGATCCCAGGACCCTGGGACCATGACCCTAGCCGAAGGCAGAGGCTTAACCCACTGAGACACCCAGGTGCCCCTAAAAATGAATTTTGTCCATTTCTAAAATAATACAGTGATCAGGTTGTGGAGGAGTGAGCAGGCCTGCGTTGCCAGGGAAATGGGTTTCTGTGGAGCCGTTCCCCTGTCCCTGAGTGGAAGGGACAGACCCAATCTTGGACCCTAAGTCAGAGGGTGCAGCCCTGCACATGTTTCATTTTGTCCCCATGGGCTGGCCGCTGGCCCCTGTGCTGGGCGCAGCCTTGGGGTCAGGGGGCGGGGGAAGCCCTGGGGGTCTGTCCCCTCCCGGGGAAGAAGGCTGTGCTTCTCAGGCACTGTCAGGCGGCCTGGGGTTGTGTGAAACACCCCGGGCTATCCTGCTGGGACCCAGTGAGAGGCCTGCTGGGATGCCAGCTGAATTTGCGCTCGAAATGGCGGGCTTCCGAGGGGAGGGCTCGCACCTGCACAGAAGCGACTTACTAGGATCTTCTCTCCTGTCTTTAGAATAACTGTGAACGCGTCTTTGTTAGTTTTCTTCCTGAGTGCCTGAGAGTTCTTGCTGCTGACACTGACGGGATGTTTTTTCTTATATTCTCTCTGGTCATCTTGATATGTGGGAGTGATACAGATTTTCATGTATTTTTTTTCTTATCCAGAAACCCTCTTCCTCATTTAATTCTGTATAGATCCTCTTGGATTTCCTATATGGAAAACATCTCCTCTCTAATCAAAGACCATTTTATTTCTTTTCCCGCTGCAAATTGAATGGCGTGGATGGATAGAGGTTTTAAGAAACCACAGTTTGAATATTTACATCTTAGAAAAAACACATTTGGTACCAGGCGGGGTGACCGCAGACGAAGAAGGGATGGGTCAGGAGGCGCTGTTCTCACAGTCATGGGATAGCACACGTCTGCCCCGGCTGGTAGGGGCGGTCAGGGCTGGGGTCCGAGGGACGGCGAAGGAGCACGCGTGGGAGGGGAGCCTGGGTGTCAGCCATGGCATGCGGGTCTCTGCCTGTGGGTCCCTCTGGGAGTCACAGGGTGGGGAGGGACTTTGGCAGTAAAACGGGTCTCTGCTGGCAGGCTCGGCCAGGTGTCTGCAGCTTGTCTGTCCTTCTGAAATGTCCTACAGATCACTCTCCCAGTGGGGCAGCGCCTGCTGCGACCTGGAGGTTGGAGAACGGGCTGGATATGATGGGTGCAGAGATCCTTCTGGAAGAAGCCCCGTCCGCTCCAGACCATAGTGCCAGCTTCTCGGGGGATCCACTGGCCCTGGAGAGAGCTGGAGTGGTGGCAGGGAGGCCCACGACCAGGAGTGTGGTGCTCCGGAAGGAGGAGGCCCGGGCGCCGGCGAGGCCACCTCAGGTGCGGAGCGGCCCCTTCTGCGGCCCGTGTCCCTGGTTGCCGGCTGAGCCCACGGTCCACCAGCTGGGCCCACTGTCCGACACCGCTGACTTAGCTCGGCTCCGGGTAGTGTTTGGGTTTGTTTTTTTTCCTTAGAGATTTTATTTATTTGACAGAGACGCAGTGAGAGAGGGAACACAAGCAGGGGGAGAGAGAGGGGGAAGCAGGCTCCCCGCTGAGCCGGGAACCCAACGCGGGGCTCGATCCCAGGACCCCGGGATCATGACCTGAGCCGAAGGCAGAGGTTTTAACGACTGAGCCTCCCAGGCACTCCTAGTGTTTGACTTTCTAAGGAAAAATAAGAGTTTTTAATACTGCTCCCAGCACCGGACATCTCTGTTGTCCTGGTTGAAGAGATGCGTGTGGATTTGACACCGCAGCCTTCATCGGGCAGGCTGTCCTCACATTCCGCTGCTTCTGCTTCGGAAGTGCGGGATTGGAGGGGATTGAGGTCTGCTTCCTGCTGAGCATAAACATAGGTAACTCATCCCTCGGTATGAAAAGGCCTCACAGGGCCGCTGCTGTGGGTTTGGGAGGCAGCTGGCTTGAAGCTGCGTTAGACTCTAAGCTTCTGTTTGTGGTGTGACTGCAGCAGAGAACCTGCTGGAAGACGGCCTCCTGGTCCAGACACCCTCGGCGTGCTTGGCGCTGGTGGGCCTGCATGTTGTCAGGTGGCCCCCGGCATGGCGTGGAGCGCTGGTCACTGGGACTGGGGTCCTGGCTTGGCTCTGCCTCATGGGGCGTCATCGGGCAGGCGGGACTGGTCCTGGGCCATGAGCCCATTCAGCCTTCTGGAAGCACGGGAAGAGGTCTGTCCCGGCGCACAGATGAGGCATGACGCATCTCAACCAAGATCGTCATGCAGGTTTTTTTTTTTCTTTAAGGAGAAACATAAGGATAAGTATATTTTATGTGTATATTTATGTACATGTAAAAGGGTGGTAAATGCAGGGTGTCCAGATTCACCCCTTCCCTGACCCCCATCACCGCCGGGGGGTGCGGAGTACAGCGTGTATGTTCAGTATAGGAGCGCTCGGCGTGAGGGACGCTCGGCGTGAGGCACGCCTGCCCCCAGGTTTTGCGTGCTCTCCACGCCGGCTTCTGGTGCAGTGTGGGGACTCCCGAAGCCTTAGGCGAGCTTCCCTGATACCCGTGTGGCTCTCGAGCATGTGCCTGTCTCCTGCAGAGACTGCACAGAGCTGGAAGAGGAGGACCGACCCGGTCCCAGAGCAGAAGCCGACTGCAGCGCACGACAGTGTCCTCCAGACTGAAAGTGAGCCAGCAGCCTGTGAAGGACAGCAGAGCCCCTTGGGTGCCTCCGAACCCCACGTCCCCGCCAGCATCTCCCAAGTGGTACGTGGTGGGGTATGTACTCTGCAGGGCGGGTGCCTGTCGCTTAGGGTTGACGGACAGCAGCAGCCCGGGTTCCGCTAAGCACAGAAGTGTCTGAGGCTGAGAAATACAGGAAAATGTTTGTCCAGAAGCCTCTTGGTGCCTTTATCCTTCCGACGGGGGCGGGAGCCTCCCGTGGCTGCCAAACCGCTGTGGGCGTGTGGTTCTGTGTGGGGGTTGCAGGTGTGTGCCGACCTGTGTCGCACAGGGGACCTCATGGCCCAGTGCCGGGAGCTGTGCCTTCCTTGTGTGGAGTGTTCCATGCTGGCGCGGGGCCTCAGCCCTGACGGTCTTGGGGGCCCTGCAGTCGGTCCTTGCTGGGGGATGAGTATTTAAAGAGAATCCTAATCTCAAGACGAGACTGTGAATCCTAAAACCATGGGGCTCTTGCCGCCACCGGGCGCAGTGAGGAGGAAGCGGACTTTACCATCTGTGTCTGCGTTAGCACGTGCGGGGGCATGGCCCATCCCACGGAGCAGGGACGGCGGGGGCCACGGGGGCCCGGCAGGTGGCGGGGAACAGCCCGGCAGGCCGGGCCGAGTGTGAGGTTGTGCCTTCTGGTCAGCGCTCGGAGCCGACGTGGCGGCGACTCGGACGTTGAAGGTCTTGCTTACGCAGCAGGGCTGGATCCGCCGTCAGGCCTCGTTTCACGACTCCTCCGCTCTGAAGCGTGTGCTTTCCCGCGCGGGCTGGAATAAAGACACGGGTTCCGCTGGAGGCTTGTGCGGACCTCCGTGGGTAGACGCTGCTGCGGCCCCGAGGTGGGGTGGGGGGGCATGCCGGGTGCGGGCGGGAGGCGATGTGGGAGCCGGCGGCCGCGCCGGCCATGCTCTCCCAGTGGTGCTCTCCCGCGTTTGCAGCGCTGCCTGGCTGAAGGTGAAGCCGAGCCCCAAGAGTGCTGCAAAGGAAGCTTGGCCGCGGCAGGATGAGGCTCGGGACGAGAGTCCGCGGAGGGACGCCGTCACGCAGGAAGCCGTGAGGTATGTGCAGCTGGTTTTCCACCTCTGGGAAAGGAGGGGCCCCGGCACCCAGGGTCTGGAGCGGACCCTCTCTCTGGTGCGCGCTATGCCGGTTCCGTCCTGTGCCGGCCGCCGCGCTCTGCCGCCCGACGGCCGCATGGGCACAGCGACCCCTTTCCCTCTGTTCCTTGCCGCGGTGGGTGCTTTGTCACCGGCTGCTTGTCTGTGTGCGGTGCAGCGGTGAGCTCTATGGAGACTTCCAGAAACGGTTGGAAGAGTGAATCCCAGTCTCTGTTATTTACAGTTGCAGGAGGGGCCGGTTCCAACCGACCTGCGGTGGAGGTGGAGGGTGAAGAATGGTGGGTGGAAGGGGACGGGCTGCTTCTGGTGCAGAGAGACCGGCTCCACTCGGGCGTGAGATGAGAACGTTCTGGAAGGAGTGGTGATGGTGGGGCTCTGCGTTCACGTGGCCAAGACTGCTCTTGCCTTATGGACTGTTGTGTCATTGGATGCTAGTCCCGTGTCCGAAACCGAAGGACACAGAGCCCCCGTGCGACAGCCCTTGTTCTTGAGTGTGCGTGGGTGGTTTGGGTGGCTGTCCACGCTCACTGGGAGTGCGTGTGCCCAGAGCCGCCCGTGAGGAGCTCCCACGGCAGAGGTGGGGTCCCCCGTGGAGCCCCAGCCCTGGCCCTGGCAGCGTGCGGGGTGAGGCAGGGTGGTCTGACACCGCTTATTGCCTAGCAGGCTCGCTTGGCTTGATGCCGAAACTTCCAAAACCGTGAAGGAGCTGGAGGAACTGAAAGCCGGGGCCTCGGACGAGACACGGAGGCAGGGGTGAGTGCCCGTGCCCCAGGCGGAGCGCTGCGGCCACTCCCCGCGGGCAGGGGCTCTGTATACCTCGGCAGCCCCCAGTGGGGCGTGGGTGGGACCGGATGGCCGCTGGGCCTCTGTGCTGTCTCCGAGGTCCGCTCTGCTCGCTGTGGACCCCGGCAGGACAGAGGGACCGGTGGGGCTCAAGGCTGCTGGAACGGGCAGGAAGCTGGCATGGAGGCGGGGGTTTGCGTCTGAGCGGGAGTTGTGAGGGCTTGTCTGCACACTTGTGCCCCCAGGACCGCCGTGGCCTGGCCGTGCCACATGGACATGTACCCGAGTGACCGCATGTGTGGTCTTTGCTACCAAATGTCCCTCCTGGGCAGAGATGCCGAACGTCGTCGGGGGGCTGGGAAAGCTGAGAGGTCAGCCTCGCCTCTGCTTGTCCCCCGCCCCCGGGCGCTCTGCTCTTGGCGTCTGGTCCACGGGTGGTGTGTGGGCTCTCTGCTTCAGGGTCGACTTGAGTGGAGGGAGTTAGCGCCCAGCCGGACGCTGGCAGTCGGAGGGGTCGCTGGCGCTCTGGGGCCCACCAGGCTGCTTCCTGCCTCTGATCACAGCTCACCCTGCGGCCGCCCTCACACTGTGTGTGCTGTCAGCCCTCACGACATGCTCGTGCCGGGGCTGGCAGGCTCTGGCCCTTCTCTCTTGTCTGTGGTCGAGGGTTCAAGCTACCCCGTGGCAGAGGCGCGTGTGGGGGGCGTGGCCGACTTGGTTTCAGCTTGGTCCTAGTCCCCGGGGTCCGGGATCGAGGCTGCCTCGGGCTCCTTGCTCGGGGCGGAGTCTGCCTGGGGTTCTCGCCCTCCCTCCGTCCCTCCCGCCCACTCGCTCGTGCGGTCTCTCTCGGATGGACAGAACGGAGCAGGTGCATAACCACAGAGCCGTGGGATTGGAAGGGCCTCACTCGGCCAACCTGCCCACGCGGTCGCACACGGCATCTGCGATGGGACGGCCCCGCTGAGGCAGTCCCTTCCTCCGCCTCCTAGCCTTCAGGAGCAGCCCTGGGACCCTACCCGCTGTCCTTCGGCCAGGGAGCAGGACGGCAGCCCACTGGACCCTATCATCCCTTTGGGCGGTCGTCTGTGAGAAACGCACACACGCGGCTCAGAGTAATAGGGACGGGAGGTCCCTGCGACAGCAGCTCTCATGGGTGTGGGCCCCCGCTGACCGTCCATCCTCAGTCCCTCCTGGTTCCTCCTCGGTCACTCCTCCCCCACCGGAGCAAACCACCGTCCCGACTCCTCCGTTCGTCTTCCCATCGCCCTCACCCGTGAGTCTGCCCCCAACGACCGTATCCCTGACGGTTTGCTGTGCAGGGCTGAGGTGCTGCCACTGCGAGGAGCGTGGCCCGGGCAGCGCAGTGTCTGGCTCCTGGCAGACCCACACGTCCGGCCCAGGCCGTCGGCGGGCCAGGTCATGGGCCAGGTCACAGGCAAGTCCCGCATACGTGTCAGGGAGGTGTCGTCAGGGCGGGGTTCCGTGTTCAGTGTGGGGCTCCATTCCGTCCCCCGACCTCGCTGACATCTACCGCTGTCTGCTAATTCTGGCCCCTGGGGTGAGCGTGCGGTGGCACCTGTGGTTTTGCTGTGCGCCTCCTCGCGTCGGCTGAGGCTGTGTGCTGTCGTGCCGGCCGTGAGGCTCTCCGTGTCCGGGCGTGAGCTGGTGCAGATGCGCGTGCAGCAACGGGGGCTTGCCTGCGAGCGAGCTTCCCGATGGGGTCTTGACGAAGAAGCAGTTTCGGGTCCTGACGGAGAGGAGTTTGCCAGCGTTCTGTCGGATGGCCCCGCAGATCGTCTGTGCTCTCCACCAAGTGCTCTGCCGCTGTGCTGTGTTCTCCGTTTGCGGCCTGCTGTGAGCTGGCGTCCATGCGTGACACCAGATGTGGCTCCGTGCGTCTCTGTCCCCGCGGAGACGTGCCGTTCTAGTGCTGTCTGCTGGGAGGGCTGCTGGGCTGAGCTTTACTCCGGGGCGAGCAGCTGCCCGGCTGGTGAGGGAGCCTCAATTGTCGTTAGTCCTTCCCTCGGGGCGGGTCAGAGCGTCCGGACACTCAGCCTCTGGTGGCCAGTGTCCCAGGAGCGTCCAGCGTGCCTGTGGGTCCAGAGATGCTCCCGAAGGGGCAGCCAGACTTCCCTGCCAGTCGGAGAGGGGCCCCCAGGCTCCTGTCTCCCATGTTTAGGCCGCCCCCAGGCCCCCACCTGCCTGCTCCCACCAGCCCTGTGCCATGAAGTCAGCAGGGCCGTGCGCGGCCCCTCCGCTTTCCCCATGACTCATCCAGAGTTGAGCTCGGCTGCTGGATGCGGTTGGTTACCACGCTGTCCTGTTTTCCAGAAGCATTTTGCTTCCTCTCTGTGGGTTTGTGTCTGACTCTGGGATAGCGGGGTTTGGAGAAGGAACAAAATCAGTTTGACTTGTTCAGTCTTCTGTGCTCTCGAGTTGTTGAAAGGCGGCCATTTCTCTTTGGAAATGTACCGAGAACCTCGCGTACCCGTTGAGACGTCAGAAGTGGCCTCAGCGGGTCCCAGACCGGTGGTGCACGGCTGCAGGGCGCTTGCTGGAAAGGCTGTATCCCGGCCAACTGCGGGTCTGCTCTTTAATGAGACCACTGGGACATCGCATGGCTGTCAAGATTAGAGCAGCTCCATGGTTTTACACTCGTTTCATTTTCCTCCACCCGGAGCGGTACCTAAATATACAGACTAGGATGTTTTCTTGCCTCGGATCTTAATTTTGGATTTTATTTCCACATAGCGTGTTGGACACCCAGCTAGCAGACAAGGTAGAGAAGGCGGTCCTGGAGCGTTTGAAGCCTCTTCTGGTCACGGCCCAGGTAACACCGTCGCTTGCCCTTGGAAGCGCCAGACTGAAAGGCGGCCCTCTGTGAGGCCTCGCGGCTGCTGGGCCACATTGTGCTACGTGGTCCGCCTGCGGCGCTGCCCGGCCCCACGGCGTCCACGGGTGGGTCTGCAGTGCACGTAAGGGACCGAGACGGGAAGAGAGAGTGCCACATCTGAGAAAGGGGAGCTTTCAGTTTAGGGAATGAGCTGAGGCTCCAGGCTCCGTTGTTGATGAGATCTGCAGTGGTGTCGGTGCCTCTGCGTCTGCGCGAGTCCTGGGTGCGCTCACCTCCATGGGCGGGATGGTCGGCGCAATTTCCCACGGGCCCAGGCCTGTGCGCAGACTGCCCCTCCCTCTCAAGGAGGAGGTGTCATGCAGTGTCACCGGCAACCGCCATCCTCCTGTGGGCAGTGAGCCGGAAGCGCCGGCCGGCAGGGCACGGGTCGTGGAAATAGTCTTGTCTGTGTGGATATGGGGGCCACGGGGAGTGTCATAATCTCACGTGGAACAAACAGTGTTCTGGGGCCCTGAACAGCCATTGCAGTCTGTACCTCCAGTGTAAGAAGCGCGTAGTCATCTCGAGAGTCCCGGGACATCTCAGGGCAGAGTGGAGGGACAGCTGGCCCTGGCCCTGCCGGCCGCCTCCTTGTCTCCTTGCTGAGTGAACTGGCACAGAGACGCGGAGGAGCTGCCGAAAGGCACACGGCCACTCTGGCCGTGTCCAAAGTCGGAGGAGGAAAAGGGGCAGAAAGCCAAGAGCAGCACGTGGCCTTTCTGTTCCCGAAGACACGAGCCGGGACCTGCCGCGGAGCCTGACGGAGCCACAGCCAACTCCAGAGATCGCGACAGCTCACGGGCCATGGATCGCGACAGCTCACGGGTCACGCTTGTCTATTTGCACAGAGGGTCAGCTCTTCTCAGGAAGCAGATCGTCAGCCAAGGGACTGGCCGTCAGCGGACGTGGCAACCGGCCAGCCCGCGGAGGAGGTGAGTGCGCGGTGGCGTCCTGCCGACACTGCCGTTGTGTTGTGAGGGCGTCCCAGGCCGCAGGGGGAAGTACACAGGTTCCCGAGAGCGCTGGGGATCCTGCCCCGGGAGGGGGAGGGGACGGTTCCTCTTGGCTTGCTGACGCTTACAGCGGGATCTCAGGAGCCACAGGGTGCTGTCCGTGGCGCTGTCCTCTCCTGAGGACAGGATGTGGCTGTGGCACGTGGCCCTGAGTGCCGGCGGCTTGCTGCCCCAAAACAGCCATTGTCTCATCCTGCCATGCAGCCTGGCTTTGCTCGCAACGGGCCTGACGTCCTCTGTGCTGAGGGTCCCATGCTCACTGCTCGGCAGGCTCGCTCACTGAGTGCCAGACGGCGCCCGGGACTGGGCAGGGAGGGGTCGGTATGATTTGGGGAGCATGAGAGCACGTGCTGTGGCCAGGTGCCCTTGCATGTCCCCCCAGAGGACCTGTGTCTGGCCTGTGCGGGAGCATTGTTGCCCGGCGGGGGCTTGGGCTGTGGGGGTGGGGGTGGGCGTGGGCCTCCGCCAGGCTGGAAACCAGCCGTGGCTGTCTGCGCCCGGACATGGGGCTGAGCCGATGTGCAGGCCCAGGCTTGGGGAAGTGGGACCAAGCCTAGAGGCCGGTGACACGGGGTCAGGAGGAGTGCGGATTGCGAGGGCGTGTCCCACGCTGCTGCTCGGGTGGTGCCTGGCTGCCTCCTGAGAGCCTGGTGGGTGCGGCTCCCACCTCACTGTCCCAGCCTCTTGTGATGAGTCTCAGGTTCCACCCCTTCTGAGGCCAGAAGCTGAGAGCGTGACCCGTGCACCCGGTGCAGCCCCCATGTGCCCTCTGCAGCCTGGTCCCCAAGCGGTCCTTCCTCCTGGCCAAGCGCCTTAGCCGGGGTGGCGTCCCCAAGGGACCAGCAGGGCGGTCAGCAGAGCCGTCAGCTGTGGGTTAGAGGGTTACCAGCCTCGTGTGTGAGAATTAGACTGTGTAGATCGTGGCACTAGGTGGTCTCGAGGAGAGTTAGTGACAAGGACTGCAGCCCTGTCAGCAGCTAGTGTCCCAGGCTCGACGTGGGCGTCTCTGGAGGTCCCCAGGCAGCCCCGGGAGGGTGTGCGTATGAAGAATCACTGAGGTCGGCCCGGCGACGTGGGGACAGGCGTGTGCTGTGACCCTGTAGGACCGGGGGCCTTCCCTTCCATGCAAACTCTCCAAGTCCCATCTCGAGAGGGAAGGAGACGTTCGTGTCGCACTCTCGCCGCATTTGCTTACAACACGACATGAGCACCTCAGGGGTCCCTTTCCGAAATGCTCGAGAGTTTTCCGAGTTGAAAGCTGTATGTGCATGTGGCTAAAAATGCAGTCATTCGGCGCAAGTGTGGTGTAGAAGTGAGACCGTCCTGCACAGGAGCGCCGGGGCATTTGGTACCCGGCTTCTGTCCTTCTGTGTCGGTGACCTCCGGTGACCTCTGATCAGCGTGTTGGAGCGTCATCTTTTCTGAGGGCACACGGGCTTCCCGACGTCCTGTCGTCCGTAGATGAGAAATGGGACACGTGCAGACACGCGTCTGCATTGACGGACCCGTGTTCCTGGGTTCCTCTGCTCTAGATGTTTCTGTGACTCCGTTGTCTGATTATTTGGCTGATTTTTATTTAAGGTTGGGTGTTTGTTCCTCTCTCTATTGGCTGCTAACACGTATTTTTTCTGATCTGCTAGAAGGTTTTTTGAGTTGCTGCGGGGGGCACTGCTGGGTCACGTCCCCATGCCCGTGCTCACGAGCCCTTCCAGCTCCGAGGCAGGACAGCCCCTGTCTCTCTGCTGAGGGTGAGAGCAAGGCTCGGGCTTGTGGGCACAGCGGGCAGCGCCAGGACCGTGCGCCCCACGAATGTCTCCTTCCGGAGCCTGATGCCGTCGCTTCCCAGCACACGTTCCTCGTAGAACCCCTCAGAGCAGGTCACAGACACATCCTCGAGTCTGAAAAGCCAGAGCGTGCAGACGCTTCGCAGACCGTAGAGAGCTGTGGGGCGTAACGGGCACGGGGTCAGGAGAAGCTGGCGAAGTGCTCCCGGGTAAGGGTAGAGAGCCTGGAGTGAGGACAGAGCGTGAGGAACCCCTGACGTCATGATTAGACGTTCTTCCAAAAGCCTGGAACTGCGCGAGAACAAACCTGTCACCTGGGCCCGACCCGTGGGCTAGCGGGCTTTTCCTCTGGGTGCGGCACCAGGAGGATGCGTGCTTCGCTGGCTGGTGGGTGCTGCTCTTGGTCGTGTGCCTGGTTTGCGGCAGCATCTGAGCGGCTGGTGGCCTCTGTGCTGATGTGGCTGTTGGCTCGCTGGCATGGCAGGGGTGCGACGGAGGGGATGGCCGCCGGCCACTTTTAGGTCTTTCGTTGCCTCTCCACCGCCCCCCACTCGCTTCACAGGCTGCAGCTTTGGACCGCGCACCCCACGGCCTTCACCAGCTGGGGGACTGTTTGGAAAACGCTGCCCACGGGCCCTGGGCCATGACCCACCATGGGGGCTCGGAGTCGGAAACCTCAGCGCCCATGGGGGACGGCAGAGGCAGTCCGGATCTGGAGAGCCTGATGCTGCGGGTGGAGGAAATGGAGGTGAGGTCCGGGGCTGCCCCCCCATGCTTCTGCAGCCCGGGTGCTCGTCCCGGCCCCACTCCGGCCAGCATCGGGCCTTGGGAGAGTCACTTGCCCTCCCTAAAAGTCAGGGGTGTTTGCAAATGAGAGCAGGTGTGAGACGTCAGCACCGTGCCGGACACAGCTCAGGACATGGCGTCATCGGTCGGTGTTGGGAGCCCCCCTGGGACCAGAGCCGGGGCCTGGACTACCCCCCCCCCCACCCTGGCACGGGTTCCCCGCAGATCACACGGCATCTCTCTTCTTTACTTGCCGTGACGCCACTTTGGGACCTTTCATCCTACGAGCTTACGCCTCCGGCAGCACCCGGCCTGGGGCCTGGAGCGTCCAGAGTGGGGAACTGAGGCCTGGTGAGGGAGCGGAGGGTGCAGCCACGGTTGCCGGGGTGCTCTGGGGCGCTGGGCCTCCTGGCCCCCATGCCATCCGGTCCCGTCTAAGGGCCCATGACCGAGTCTCCGTTTGGATTTGCTGTTAAGTAGAAACAGGAAGACCATCTTTTCTTGGTTTTTAAAAACATAAAATGTGTCATTCGCCCCCGTGCTAACACAGTTCCCCTTCCCGGGGTACCCGTCCGGCCTGCAGCGTCAAGAGCGGCCGGCTCTAGCCCCGTGGGGCGATGGAAACGTCAGTTCCGCTGGGGCCCACGGCTCATGTTTGAAGTGGTCAGCGGCCCGTGGGACAGGTCACCCGTCAAGACAGGTTCTCATGGGCAGTGCTGGTCTCCGTTAGATGGGTCAGATGAACTCCTCGTTAAATTTTAGACTTGGCCTCGTGAACGCCCTCGCTGCCCATTTCCGGCAGTGCGCTGCATCGTGTCGGTGAGCTCTTCTGGCGCGGAATGAAACTGCTCATTGTTCATATGTTAAACTTGTTTTTTTTATAGAAATACCGGGAGACAGTTTGCCAGAGATACAGTAAAATCGTATATGCTGATCCTCACCTGTGGGGGCAGGAAGGAAAGACGGGTGAGTGTCCCCCTGCCGCGTCCCCCCCACGCTCCCCCACACCGTATGCCGCAAGGTTTCGGACGCACAGGAACGTTGCAGACCTTGGGGACATGCACGTGCCTGCTCGCGCCGCCCGCCCGCATGTCCCCTGTGTCTGGGTGCGTGTCAGAGCGTGGCAGGTGTGGGCGTGCGTGACCCTGAATGTTGCAGCGTGTGTGTCTGCAGCTAGAGGGTTGCGTTTCTCTGTGGCTCTTTTTCCTTTTGAGATTAAACTTACATGTGATAAAAAGCACGGATGTTAATTGTGTCCTTAGCTGGGTCGTGGCAAACTGGTACACGGCGGGCTTCTTGCACGTGGACACGCCTCCTGTCGATCTGTCTGCCTGCGGGTTCTGGGCTGTTGGGGACCAGCGAGTGTGAGCACATTGGTGTGTGACCTGTGCGGACGCTGGCAGGTCCCGGAACAGGGCCGTGCTTCACTTTGGGGGAAACTGCCGGGCCTGCGCCTGGGCGCCCGGCGGTCTGGGACTGCAGCCATGGTGACGGGCGTGGCCTCGTGTCTCGTCGTGCTTGTGTCATGCCCTCGATGAACAGTGACGTTTAGAACGTGTCTCTGTGATCGTCAGCCGTGGCGTCTGTCTGCGTGAGGCTTCCTGGTGCTTCGTACGTTTTTGAACATCGTGGAGTCTTTTGTCTGGAATCGTAGGGTCCTCTGTGCTCTGAGACAAGTGCTTTGCCAACTGCATCCGTTGTCCTCCTCACGCCGGCTTTAGTGAGCTGCAACTCACCTTCCTCAGACTCGGCCTTTGGAGCGCGTGGCTCGGCGGTTTCCCGTGTGTTTGCGGAGCTGCCGGACCCCGGGACGCATCGTCCCCACGCGCCGGCCCTGCTCTCACGGCTGCGGGTCTCCTCGGACAGACGCGGGCCAGTGTTTCCCAAGCTTGTTCTCAGGTGTAGCTTGTTGTAGGGACGTTTCTGACTTCAAAAAGTCTAACATCAACTTTTTCCCTTTTTTTTTGGATCTAAGAAACCTTTACCTACCCCCAAGTTCCGAAGGGGGTGTCTTGTTTTCTTCTAGAAGCTTTTCAGGTTTAGCTTTTGTGCATACGGTTGGGTCCGTCTCGAATGAAAGTTGGCCTGTGATGTGAGGTGGAGGTGAGGGTCTGGTTTGGGTTCTCCTCCCGAGGGACAGCCCTGCAGGCCCCGGCCGTCCATGGAGGAGACGCCCGCTTCCCGCTCCCCTGCTGCACGTGGACACAGTTGCTGGCTCCTGTCACGGCTGTGGCCGGAAGTGCCGCTCATCAGTGGCCACCTCATAGCCGTGGGGAGGCGCCGCACACAGGGTGTGAGTGCAGAGCGTTGGTGGGGGGGCGGCCGCTGCTTTTCTAGAATCAGGGAGGACTCGTGCGCCGTGCCACATGCCGACGGACGTGAGCCGTCTAAGCGCTCTTGGGCCTTCCGTGTGTTCTGTGGTTCTCAAGCCCCTGCCCTCTGCTTGTGGCGTGTCGCCCCCCAGCAGACACCGTGAGGTGCCACAGCCGCGCAGCCGCTCTGGGAGGCTGGGGTCCCCTGGCCCCACCCGTGCGGGGCTCCTGCCATCCCCCCTCCCGGAGCTTGACTCCTCCCTCCCTCCCTCGCCTGCAAGCTCCTGTGGCCGTCGTGCCCGTCGTGCCCGTCGTGCATCAGGGTCGCTGGTGGAGGGATCTCCCCTCTCAGCCAGGCTGCAGAGCTGAGGCTGGAGTTGGTGCCCTGCCGTGTGTGTGCGGCGGGTCGCGGCGTGCAGCAGCCGGAGTCGGTGCCCGGCGGTGCGCGTGCGGCGGGTCGCGGCGTGCAGCAGCCGGAGTCGGTGCCCGGCGGTGCGCGTGCGGCGGGTCGCGGCGTGCAGCAGCCGGCCGTATGCAGGACTCTGCTCTTGTTTCAAGGACAGTTCAGGCCAGTCGCTGCTTCTGAGCGCGTAAAAGCTCGGCGTGCCCCCGACGAGCGTGGTCGACCCCGAGAGCGAGCACTCCTTGCCTGGGAAGTCCCGGAGTCCTGTGTGTGTCGCTCTGGTTGTGTGCCCAGCTGTACCACAGAACCGGCCTGAGAGTGGTTTTTCCTTCTCTTGTCCTCTGCTCGTGGGAACAGTGGACAGCTGTCCCGTGTGGTGTTTTTGCAAACACTGAGGGACGTAGCGTCTCCAACAAGGACGCTGTAGGCGTGTCGGCGTGAATCTGGCTCACAGGGCTCCTTCCCAGAGAGCAGCACACGTTTTCTGCCTCTACGTGAAACACTCTTCAAGTTTCAAGTGACCCAGAGCTCAGAGGGCTGTCAAGCTCCAGGCTCGTTAGTAAGTCCGTGTCCTGACCGCCGTCGCAGCTCTCTCCCAGCGATGCCGAGAGACAGACTGAACCAGCTAATTAAGCGTTCCGACGGGAGTGCTTCTTTCCTTCCCCAGTAATCAGACCATCTCAAGGTTAACAACGAACCCAGGTGCTCAAGCCTCCTCGAGTGCTGGCCCCGACAGGAGCCTGCCTCTCCTGGGGCTTCGCACAAGCCTCTGGCGGAGCGTCCTCCAGGTTCCCGAGGCTCCTGAGCGGGCTCGTCGTGTCTTAATGCTGAGGCCTCGTTGTGACTTTAAGTTCGCCTTTTCTTTGCAAACCGGAGCATTCTTGCCCTGCCGGACCCCGGTTAGGTTTGAGAGATGGGCGTGTGGCCTCGCCGCGAGCCCGGCTGCGAGGACGGCTCTGGGAAGCCCACCGGCGTGTCTCCGCTCAGTCACTGTCTGCTTCTCCTCTTCTAGGGCAGGCACCCCCAGCAGTAAGTGAAAGGCCTCTTTCTCCTCATCCAATCAGGATCACAAAGACTCCAGCTCGCAGAGACCACGACGTGAACATCGTGTTGGAAGAACCCAGGAATGCCAAGTGAGTGGCGCTGAGACCTGCGTCAGACCTGCGTCCGGCTGCTGGCTTGCCCCTGGGAAGCTCCGGGAAGGCCCCAGGAAGTAGCATGCTCGCGGGGCAGGCAGGCCTCCGAGGGCAGCGCCACTGTCCCGGCTCATCTCTGTGACAGACCTGCTTCGAGCGCGCACTCTGGCCTCCAGCGCAGGGGCTCCCGCCACAGGCAGGGCAAGCAGGGCGCAGTGGGGGGGTGCTGGCTCTGTTTAGGTGGGAGGGAGATCTTCGCCCATCCACGTGGCGGGTGGAGGGAACCATTCAGCCTTGCTACGGTGCGCTGGACGCTTTCCTGACCACCTTCTTCCCTCAGTTCCCTGGACGAAAGCGTGGGGACGGATGAGAGGTCTGAGAAGAGCAGGGCCCCCCTTGCGCGCCTCCCGGAAGAGTGTCCGCAGAAGGACGGCCAGACCACGCTGCACGTCCCCCCAGGCCTGCGGCACAGCATTGGCGACTACTGTAGCCGCTTCGAGCGGTACCTCCGCCTGGTCGCGCACGAGGCTGTGGGCGCCTTCAACCCGTGGCTGTTGGCCGAGAGGTCAGTACGATGTTGATGTCGTGGCCGCGCGGCGGGGCCAGGCGCCGAGCAGGAGTGCCCAGAAGGCTGGCAGAGGGACAGGCCGGCATGTGGGCTCCCTAGGCGGACTTTCTCTGCAACCTGCCTTCTCAGGCAGAGGAGCTGGCGAAGCAGGTGCCTGTCGCTGTGTCAGGAGCCCCGGGCGGCCTCCCTGTCGGGCCCGTGACCAGAGCCAGCTGGGCCGGTGTCTCCCGAGAGCGGTGGCTGCCTGGGGTTCCTCCTGCTACTGGTACTTGGAGAAGGAGTGTAAACCGTGCGTTGAAAGGCACGTGTAACTTTGCTCCTTTGAACTATGGTGCACATGGGGATCCTGGCTGGCACCTGACGCAGCCCTGCGGATGGCTGCCGTCCCTGTCCCTGAATGGGTGCCGGGCTGTGGCCGGCCCTTCCTCTGGCCACTGTGGGCCGGTGCCAAGAAATCCTTCCCGCCACGCCCTGCACGCCTGCCCTGCACGCTCGCCCAACACACCCATTCGCCCGCACAGACTGTCCCCTCAGGTTGGGTCTCTGGCCTCCACGCCCCACTTGTCCCCTGAGACCCTCTTTCCTTCCACCCCCCCAAATGGGCCCGACTGCTTTCCGGATCTGCGGGGCGGCTCTTGTCCGGGGCCGTCCCTCTCTCAGCACCTGTGCGAGCAGCCCCCACCCCACCTCCCCAGGGGTCTCCTCTCTGGTTTGCTGAGCACGTGCTGCCCCATGCAGGGAGGCCAGGCTGACCCTCCGCATTTGTGCCCCTTCGTGCCGTCTGCCCCGCAGACTCGCGGCTGCTGCATTTCCATCACGGGTGTCTTGGTTCCGAGCTCGCAGCTTCCTTCCCTGGCGGGGGTGCAGGGGGCCCCGCCTGCCCACTTGGCCCTCCCCTCCAACCACCTCTACCCGGGGTGGCCTTTGTGCTCAGTGGGTCCATCGGTGGGCCTCTCCCCCCCGACCCTGGGTTTCTCCCTTCTTCACGCGGCCCCTTGGGGTTCCAGTACCTGCCCTTTGCCCTCCCCAGTCTCCGGCGTTTCTCCTGCACTAACGTCGTGCGCGGTCTCCTGCCGAGGTCTGTGATCCATTTCCTTGTCTTGCTCTGAAGTGGGACCAGGATGGTGGCTCATGTCCATCCCCTGCATCGCCCCGAGCCTTCCCTTTCCCGTGCCCTCAGGCCTCTTGATTGTTCTGTGTGCGCTGCCCGTTTGTTTTCTGGGGAGGAGGACGGGGAAGCCTGCTGGCCTCGTGTGTTCCCTCGCACGCGCGGTGGGACGCTCCCTCCTCCCAGACCTGCCTGGGTCGGTTAGGCTGATGGGCCTGCGGCACATCTGGAACGAGCCGAGGACAGACCGTCCGTCGAGCGGTCTTCCCGTGACCCGTGATGCCTTCCGTCTGCCGTCCAGCTCCAAGGGCTCCCGCTCCGGTCTTGTTCTCTTGCGGGCTTCCGGAGCCGAGGGTCGTGTCCACCACGTCCTGGAGTAGCCCTGGGGAGAAGGGAGTGCACTCTGCTTTACTCGTGCTTTTCACGCCTCTGCTGCCCGCCCCGAGAACAGCGCCGTTCCCACGTGGGAAAGGAGCCGACGCGCAGTCGGGCGGGAGGGTGCTGGCGGCAGCGGCCGGGGCGGTGTCGCGCTTGGCGGGAGCAGACTCACGGGGTCCCGGAGACCTGTGGCCGGATGGGCGGGGCGAGCCGCGAACTTACCCGTCCTTCGTGAACCCCTGTCGTGCTCCATGTCACCTGAAGGCTGTGTGAAGCCGTAGATGACGGCCAGCGGGGACGAGCTGGAGCATCGGGGGGCTGTCGAGCCGCAGACCGGCGGCAGGAGACCCAGCCGCTGGGAGCGCCGTGGAGGCCAGGGGTGAGGGGAGCTGGGCGCCGGCGGGCGGAGGCGTGGGTGCGGGTGAGTGGGAGGGGTGGGTGGACTCTGAGCAGGGCCCAAGCTGGACCAACCAGGATGCGTGTCCTCGGGAGTGAAGGACACGGACACACGGGGACACAAGCTCGGGACACTGAAAGAGGAGCTCCTGAGGAGGAGAAGTGAGTTCTCAGAAATTACGAGGCCAGAGTCACCGGAGAGTTCAAGAGCCAAGCCAGACCCCCCCGAGGCGGGCAGCAGAGCGAGCAGACGGCAGGAGAGACAGGACTTCACAGATCCGCCGCTGGTTCTAGGAGTCACGAGTCTAGGAGACGTCCCGGAGCTGTGGGTTCAGCAGCTGGACCGTGGGTCGTGCTCTGGAGGCGGGGACATCTGAGGCCTGTGTGCGAGCTGTCTGCTCTCTGGGGAGATGGCGGCTGGCCCCGGGGCCCCTTCCTGCAGGGCCTGAGCGCCCGTCCGCCCCCTGGGACTGAGGCTTTGACAGGCTTCTGTTGTGGGGACACGGAGGTTTGGGCCGTGGCAGCAGCCTCTGGCAGTGGGAGCCGTGTCTGTGAGAACAGGGGAGGGGCCGTGGGAGATGCCCCGGAGGCCGCCCGCCCGCGGCGAGTGGGTACGCAAGGAGCAACGGCACAGACCAGGCGGAACATACCTCGGCCGTCACTGCAGGAAGCCATGTGGGTGTCCTGTGTGGGGGGCAGGCAACAGACGGTCCCGGGGAGTCCAGCAGGCCCCTTTAAGAACCCGACAGGAGAACAGCATGTCATTTTCAGCTCGACTCTGCTAGAAGATGTCCGAGTGTCCCGCAGTCTCTCAAGCTCAGAGCTCGGCGAAGCTGTTGAACCAGACGGCAGAGTGAAGGTGCCATCTGGAATTCTGCCGTGACACGCAGCGCCCGGAAACCCGGTGGCCGGGCAGTGGCGCTCAGTGAGTTCCTGGGGGCGTGGGGCACCAAAACAGCGTGGGCATCAAGGAAAGCAAGACAGGACTTAGGAAGTGAGACCCCGGCGTGGGAAGCCATCACACGAGGGGAACGATTGAGTGGGTGTGGGGGGCACCCGCCCTGGTGGAGGGAGGACGGAGGGCCACGGAGGGTCGGTGGGAAGGTGGAGACAGGAAGGAAATGGGCTGTTAACCCAGGGCACCGGGGCACCTTTGCATCTGTCTCGTAGTTTGGGGTGGTGAGGGCCAGGAATGTCAAGAGCATAGTGGGTGATTCTGGTCATGGTGGCCCTGGAATCTGGACCACCTCCCGCTCAGGACAGACGGAGCCTCCACAAGCCACCAGCTGATGGTCAGCCCAGGGGGCACGGGGGCCTTTTGAGGACCTTTGGACATGGAGCCCAGGGGTGAGAGCCCAGGATGTGCCGCGGCAGCCTGGGAACGCTCCTTGCAGGGACTGGGACCCTGTGGGCAGCGCTCCGGGTGTCAGGACGGGGCTGGGCGTGCTGTCCACACTGCTGGAGCCTCGGACCGTGAGTTCCAGAAGGTCTACAAGCCCCAAACACAGAAAGTGAGAAGAAATCCACGCATAGGCGCATGTCGCAGTTTTCTTGAAAAATAACAGGAAAAGTGGAAATCACTCGGAGAAGGGCAGAGCGGGAAGCAGAGCGCTAGAGGCTGGGGTGTGCAGCGTCCCATTAGGGCAGAGGGGAGAGGGCTGCCACTCTGGCACGGGTGCGTCGCGGAGGTGAGGGGTTCCGACAAGCAAAGTGAGGACGCTTGTCACCGGCCGCTTCGCCATGAGAAATGGCAAATGCGCGTTTCTGGGGCAGATCAGGAGCAGGGCCAGAGGAGAGGGGAGCTCAGACGCGTGCGGCAGTGGGTGTCCGTGGACACGATGATGCCCGCCCACGTCACGGCAAGACCAGCATGACGGCTGCTCCAGAGCCTCTGGGAGCCACCGGGGAGACGGCGAGAATGTCCGCGGTCAGGCTTAGCATTCGGGCACGTGGGAGCAGTGTGTGCAATGTCCACGGGAGCAGAGAGGAAAAAATACCACAGATCCCCACGGAGTGGAGCAGGAGAGGGGAGGGAGCCAGCAGACGAGGAGCAAGTACCCGCTTCGCTGGCAGCAAGGGGCTCTGATGCATCGGGGTTGCGTTGAGTGGAGAAGACCATATGCATTGGGGGAGGACGGTCAGAGCTACAGAAGCTCCACACGTCCTGGTGGGGGCGGCCATGCGCTGTGGCTCGGCTGGGGGGACCCGCGTTCATGTTTCTCACCTGTCCCCCCAAGCCCCCCAGCTTGGAATGTGCAGAAACTCGAACCTCCCAGTATTTCCCACCAGTAACACGATCTAGGGAAAGGGGCAGACAGCATTCGGTCCGAGCAGCTTGGACATGGCCTGTGCGCCCTCAGTGAAGCCCGGAGAGCCATGGCCACACGTGTTTCTGCTCGGTGGGCGTCTGGCGCGGACTCAGGAGGGCCGATCAGATTAGTGCGTGCGTCTGCGTGCCACACGGGGAGGCCGGATACGGGATGGACGCGGCAGGTGTCCATGTGTCCGTCTGGCCCGTCTGCTGAGAGAGCCTCCATGCTGCAGCCCCAGGAACACAGAGCACCCAGCTCCTGAGTGCTATTCTCCCCAAAATGTGCCCAAGCCCCTCGGGGAAATGGCCGGGTCTGTGTGCGGGGCTTGGAGTGGGCACGACAGCCGAACTGTCCCCTGAGCCAGGAAGGAGGGGTCAGAGGACCAGGGGGCAGCTGGGGGACCCAGGAGCAGCTGGGGGGTGGGCGCCCGTGGCTGTGTGGGGCACGGATATCAGAGGGGCAGTGTGTGCACAAATGCCTGGGATCGATTACAGACGGGGCCAGTCAGGGCCTGCGAGGCCCCGCTGCTGGGAATGAAGGAGGGAAGGAGGGGTGAGCACGCAAGTCAGTCCGGGAAGGGGAGCCCCCCTGCAGTGATCCGACAGTGGCCAGTCCTGCACCTGTGCCCGAGTCCTGCGGCGAGGCACCCCTGCCGGGGGGGACTGGCACGGCCAGGGAGCTGGCCGTGTCCCCGCAGCACCCCAGGAAGCCACGTGGGATGGCTGGATGCACTGAGGGACACGGTGTCCCTTCTGTGGCCTCGGTTCCACAGGTGTGTGACCCGAGGGGCCCCGAGGAAATATCAGACAGGCCTGGACTGGGGGACATTCCACGAATAAAGGCCTTGCTCTTTTGGAGAATGTCCAGGTTATGAGAGAGAGGCTGGGGTTGGCCGCAGACTTGCGGGGGAGCTGGAGAAGCAGCGGGCAGCAGCTCAGGGGGACAGTTCGGCTGTCGTGCCCACTCCGAGCCCCGCACCCAGACCCGGCCATTTCCCCGAGGGGCTCGGGCACATTTTGGGGAGAACAGCGCTGGCCTGGGTTGGATCCTGCCCCAGAGTAGATGGTGTGTGGAACCTGGAGGCTGTGAGCCCATGTCCTGTCAGTGGCAGTGTGGGGGTGACTGTCCCAGAGGAGGTACCCGGGGGGTGGGGGCGGGCAGTGGTGGGGCATCCGTGTGGATACCAGGCCCCGCCCCAGCCTGGTGTGGGGTCCGGGCAAGTGGGGCCGCCTGCTGGGTGAGTCCCGGCTCCCGTGGCTGTGCTCATGGCCGTGCCCTACAGTTGTGTTGTTTGTCTTCAGCTTCTCCGACGAGCTAGTGGATGAAGCTCTGGGGGCTGTGGCCGCGGAGCTGGAGGATGCGTGCGAGGACTACGCAGAAGCTGTGTTCACCTCGGAGTTCCTGGAGGCTGCGACCTGAGGGCTCCATCTGCAGTGGACCTCCTCCCTGGGGTGCACGGGAGCCCCTGAGCCCGGCTGCCCTTCTGTGCCTCCTGGGTGCCTCCCACGGAGGGGGGGCCCCCTTTCCATCCTCTCATGGTCGTGGTGATGGCTCTGGTGGTTAATGACCAAGGGCAAGGTGTTTCTCAGCCCCCAGAAATTGTGAATTATGACAATATAATAGTTTCTCAATGTGTAGTTTCTCTATTGAAATCCCATGTTTGTTTTGCCACTGAATCTGGTGACAGGAGCGTCGGGAAAGGTGTTGGCAGGTGTATTTCCCGAGGGTCCACGTTGCTGCCTAGCCACCTGCGCCCGTGGCTCCTGTGCTCCCGTCATCCAGAGCTCCCTTCTGTTGGTCCCCGTGACGCCACGCCATGCAGACGGAGCCCACCAGCCCTCCGCGTCCTGCCAGCCGGTTCTCACCCCGGCGGTCCTCTGCACCGTGGTCCGCAGCCTTGTCTCGCCCTGGCGGCCGTGTTCTGATGTCCAGACTGTGTCAGCACGTGGGGGCCATCGGAGGCCGTTGGGAGGGTCCCTGGCTGGCATCCCTGTTCTCTGGGCCCGCATATTCCACGCCTGTGGACCCACAGAAGACCGGGCGGGAGGAGAGGACTGGGCCAGAGCAGAGGACCTTCCTGGATGCGGGAAGCCTGGCGGGTCCCCCGGGAGAGGAAGACACCCGAGAGCCACAGCCTTTTCGTTTGGTCCTCTCCAAGCTGTGTTTTACCGAGAAGTGCCTCTGGCTTTTCAGAAAAAAAGGAATGTGCGTGAAAATAAGGCCACTTCCTGGAAGAAGGTTCTTCCGCCGGCTGGCTTGGGCTTGGCTCCGCCGCGGATGATGTGACTCCTTAGGACGCGGTCGGTGTCACAGCTGGACTTTCTCCGGCGCGAGTGTGTTTGAGGCGACCGCGGGAGCGGCTTGGCCACACTGCTGCGCGCACACCTAGGCCGGGGTGGTGCTGGCCTTCTGCTCGATTTCGCGTGGCCTCGGGACCGAGAAGGCTCTGAGGCCAAAGGTCGTCCCCGTGCGGGGCACGCGCGTGCGCCCACGTCAGCAGGCGGTGGCCTCGGTGGCTCGAACTCGTCTGTGGGGCAGTTTGTACTGTGCTGATTTTGAAATAAACTCAGGATTTTCCAGTACGTGCGTGTCTGTCTGAAATGGGCCATGCCCCCTCTCACCCACGGCAGACGCCGCCAACCGACCGCGTCTCATGGGGCGCAGGGCCGTGGAAAGGAACGGTAGTGACGCGAGGGTTGGACATACGCTCCGTGCGTCCTGCCCGCGTACCTGCCCCTGGTCTGTTTGCTCCCGCGCGCCTGCCTCCCGTGTGCTGGGCGCTCCGTGTGTCCTGAACTCCTGCGTGGAGGGTGGCACCGCTCTCCCGGGACGGGCTCGTACGGGGGCGGGGGGCCTAGCCCATCTCCTCGGTGGCCCGACGCAGGATGCCACGTCTGAGGCGCTGCTGCCCTGGGAATGCCGGGTGGTCGGAGAAGTGCCGCATGCGGCAGCCGACGGGACCCTCCTCCTCCCTCTGCCGGCGGCACTGGGGCCCCAGAGGGAAGGGGATGGGGGTCTTCTTCGTCCCCGCCTGCGAGGGGCCGAGGAGGAAGAAAGGTCTCAGGGAAGCCCTCGGGGCCAGTGGGACAGGAAGGGCCTCGGGACGGGGGCAGTGAGTTTCCAGCCTTTCTGGCAGCAGGAAGGCAGTGAGTGGCAGGTGGGTCCCCTTGCCGGGGCTGGCCTGCTCGTGGCGGACGTGGGATCCGGTTAGAGCTGGGCTGTGGGGCTTCCTCCAGACCTCAGGAGTGTGACCAAGCGTCCTTGGTGAGGGTCCCGGGAATCCCCTGTGGGGACCCGAGTGAGCCCTGGTCTCCTCCCACCCCCAGTCCACCCGCCCCCTGCCCCTCCCATACTGCCTGGCTCTTCCCTCGGCCTTGGCGGGGGCTGGGCCGCAGAGCCATGGGTGGGCCTCAGAAGCCCCTGCCCCATTGGGTGGGACCCTCAGGCCCAGAGGTCTGGGTCCCCCTTCCTGGCCCCTTGAAGAAGGCAGAAGTCGAGAAGGGCCCCCTGAGGCTGGGAAGGGGAGAAGGCGGTCCTCAACCCCCTCCCCGCTGCCCCACCCCGCTGAGTGTCTCTCTCTCCACCTGGCCCTGTGTGCCAGCGGGGACCGGTTGGCTGGGGGTGGGGGGCCAAGAGGTGAGGTCCCATGGGACCTCCGTGCCTCGGTTTCCCAGTCTGTGACACCGGTTACTGGAGGATTGGGGGAAGTGAGCCATGCAAACGTCTTGTCCTGGGGCTGGTCTCCTGGCCTCTGTCCCCAGGGGCTCTTCCTGCCTGTGATCCCAAGGCCAGCACGGGGTGGCTCCAACCGCTGCAGACGGACGTCCCTCGGGGCCCCTGTACACTGTTTCTGTAAGCTGGCAGGCCTTCCCGTGCTGGCCACATCCTCGGGGCAGGAGAGGAAATACTGCCAGTCCCACTGTGTGCGGGAGGCTTCAGAGCCGCGGAACCAGGGAGAGGCCTGCTGGGGTCTTACGGGCACCGCGGCAGTGTGTTCTGTGTCCTGTGATTGACTGTCGAGTAGATGACGCGGGGACGGTCTACAGACCGTAGCAGACATCACTTACGAACAGAGCCTCCATCATCGCTGACGGTGGTCCTGCCCCGCGCTGGGCACCCCGCTCCGTCCTGGGCCTCCCGACAGGCCCCGCCCTGTCCCCGCCCCTCTACCAGGGCTGGACCCAGCAGCCACCCACAACAGCAGCCACTGTCCGCCACTGAGTGCCCACTGTGCTCTGGGTGCCTGGGGGCTCATGCCCAACACTGAAGCAGAGGCTGTGGACCCCTTCATGGGTGGGATGGGGACTGGGCAGCCGAAGGTGACCGTCTGCGGTGCATGCAGTGGTCCACGGGGCCCTGGTGTCCCCGGAACGGGCACCCCGTGGCCTTGCCCCCTGTGCCGGGCTGCAACCCCACCGTGGCCCCATGCCTCAGCTGCACCCCGAGCCCTGCCCTGGTTTCCTTCTCCTGAAAGCTTCCTTTCCACTTGGGGCAGCTCCCTGGTCTGTAACCAGCCTGTCCTGACTTAACCCTGGGCTCTGGGCAGCCAGGTCTCAGCCACGGGCCCCTGCAGCCACATGGATGGACCAGGGGAAAGGGGCATCGAGGCTCTGCTGCCTGAGCTGCGGGACCAGCTGGCGGCCGGGGCAGACCTGCCCGTGGACGCCTCCAAAGCCCCGTGTCTCCCGAGACCGGGCAGTTCCTGCAAACTCCCTGCCGGCCACAGCGACCCAGGGAGGGCACAGGCTGTCCCTCCTTGAGGCCTGAGCACAAAGGCGAGAGAGGGGAACGGGCTGTGGTGGGGGCCGAGGGGCTGATTCTTCTTTCCTGAGCCTGGGCTGCAATTTTGGTGGTCTTCATGGAGGAGGCAGCCTTGGAACCAGACCTTGACAGATGGGTGGGGCTGCGGTGAGGGAAGGAGAGGGCAGCGTGGCAAGGCCCGCCGTGGACACGTGCACAGGCCATGTGGTACAGGTGGTGTGGTTAGTGTGGGTGATGGAGTGGGAGGACCCCACCCCCATGGTCCCCTCGGCACCGGTAAGGCCCCAGACACGCTATTCCCTGGCCACGTCTGCTCTCCCTGGGAAGTGTGATCAGCCCCAGACTCAGCCCTGCTCCGGCATCCAGGTCTTCCCTCCGTATCTGCGCGGGGAGGTCCTGCCGCACGCCGGCCACCCCCGGTCCATGCTCACGAAAGCCGGCCGGTGACACGTGTGCGAGGGATGCAGGGGTGGGTCAGGATCGCGGCTCCAGCAAGGACCAGGGCCCAGAGGGGACCGTGAGGCTCACGGGACGGTGCATCCTGAGGCTGAGGCTGTGGGAGGCTGAGGGCCCTGCGGGCACGGTCTTGGAGGCCAGCTCCGTCCACGGCGGCCTCCTGGCCCTGTCAGCTTCCAGTGACGACTGTGTACCTGCTCCATGCGATGGGAGATGTGCGGAGCCTCCTGGGGGTCAGAAGGAAAACACGTACACACACGTACACACATGTACACACACCACATGCACACACACGCACGCACACATATGCATGGGGCTCCAGTTTCAGCAGCTCACAATCCGTGGACCCAGGGAGGCAGGAAGCCCGGTGAGGGAAGGCCCCTCCCCATAGCGCTCCCCGGCCTGTTGGCCGAGCGGGACCCCGCAGGGGGCTTGCTCTCATCTTCCTCCAGAGTGGACGGAGGAAGGTCTGCTGCCCCCTTTCCTGCAGAGCAGGGGTGGGTCTCACCGGGGTCACTGGGGTCACCAGGGTCACCAGGGTCAGCGGCTCTGCACCCAGAGTCCCGGGTCTGGTGCGCACCTGCTATCCCCCGACCCTGCAGATGGTGCTGCCCCTGTCAGGTCCTGCCCCAGGATTTGCAGAACTGAGTAAGGCTGGGGAAGAGGCAGCGGAGGCTCCTGGCATCCGAGGTGGAGGCGGGAGGAGGGGCCGGAGAGGGGCTTGCGAGTTTTATTTCCGACAGCTCGAATGGGAGTTCGAACTCTGATGATCACAGTGTTCTTGTTCCCAGAGTGTGGAAACATCAGGGCGTGGAGACACGTGAACCGTGCCGTGGGCGGCAGCCCACACGGAGCCGCCTACACGAGGACCCCGCTGCCCCGGCCGCTTCTGGAGGCTGCACACAGCGCCCGACCGCGCCCCTGGCCGCAGACCGCGCACTGCCCGCAAGGCATCGGGAGTGCGCTCTGGGGGCTGCGGGGTCCCCGGCGTCTGAGTAATTTGGATTCAGGACGCGGCCTCCCCTCGGAAGCGTGCGGCGCCGCCACTGTCCTTAGCTTGAAGTCATGGTGAGGCCGGACGCACCTCCCGCTCTCATCCAGGTGGCTGGGCGTGGCCGTGTGTCCCGGGTGTGGCCGGTGGCCCGACGGAGCAATGTGGACGTGGGGGCCAGCAGTGCGGGCGTCCATGGTGAAGGCGGGGCTGCCAGGCATGTCTGCTCCTGGTGCTGGCCTCTGGGCGGCCGGCATCCTGTCTGCTTGTGCAGGAGAGCCTGAGCGTGTGCCTGCGGTGGCGGGAAGCGCCACGTGTGTG